TCAACAAGGCAGTGAAGAGAACAATAACAGACAGCACTAAATACAGGGCTCCACATACTGCATGTTCAATGGAAAAAAACAATGAGAAATATGTATTTCACTCTGTGCTCTATATTTCTCTTCAGAAAAACCTGAAGCCCCCCCCATCTACCCTACTGTGCACATCCAAAATAGAAATCCCCCTTGAATTATTAATGACAAAGCTCAATGCTAGAATTTAATTGCCGCAGTCATACTCATTTAATACATTCAGGCCAAGACCAAATCCTTTTCACCAAGGCCGGTCAGCCAGGGCCGTTTGCTTTCATTCATAATCTTAAATTAAAGAAACACAAAGAACTCAAAGATTTCATGAGTCACACTGAGGCTTTTTCTTGCTTCGCCAATACAAAGTCCTCCATTTTTTTGTTCTCAGTTCCAATAACATGAGACATGATACTGATAACAGATTTTCACAATGTCATCATCCCATAATGAAACATCATCCAATGATGAAACAGCACAACCAAATGATCAATAGAGAACCAAATCTAATCATAGCTCTATATCTGTTCAAACTTGAAAATATGAATAACAATTCCCTGCCCTACAGAAAAGTATATGTTTATACATATGCATATTTTCTTAGACATGTGCTTTGTGTTTATTAGTCTAAAGCCTAAGCAAAGAAATACACTACTTGTAAGTAGATGGTCAGGCTAATGCTTGCTGCCTAATGCCCAAGTCCTTGATTTTCAATGAGAAGGTCAAAAGCATATTTTTAAAATCAATTCATGCTGGAGGGGTACTTGCAGGGTTCAGTGTGGTAAAATACTGCCCGCCAAAATTTTTTATTATTTTTTTTTTTAATATTTACCACTATTTATCACAAAATTACATATAAAAATACGTGCAGGTTCACTAGTGGCTTTGGATAGTAAATAAAATGACTATATCTGTGTTGTGGATATTGCGACCCCTGGTTCCTATCACCACCACTGGAAACTGTAAAGAAATCAGTAAGTCAGTAAGTTTCTTTACAATGAACTTTCACATCAAACCAGAATGACGTAATTTACATCTCGAAGATAACATTATGTCGAAATTTGAAAAACTGGTGGATTTCCCCTTTAAGGCACAATTCAGAAAGCCTGAACATTACTGATGAACACACATTCACAAAGACATTATAATGCAGTGAGAAGTATGAAATCTCTGAAACACTGAACTGGGTGAACATCTCACCTCAATCACATCTCCAATTCAAGAAGAACCAGATGGAAGAAGCACAGACATGCGAGGCACTCTTTAAGTCTTTAGGGCGAACGCTGTACAGTAGTGAACCAAGGCAAGCCATTACTGAACAATGCTAATGAGGCGCTAATGCTAATGAGAGTCAGTGAAAGCTTAAGGCAGCTTGTCAACGCTTCTAATCCATCACTTCAGGCTGACAGCAGCCAGTTGCTGATGAATGCAGCTCACATCGAGGCCCAATAAATAATATGGCACCTGCATGCTGGAGTGCAGCTAGACTAGATGACTTGAACTGGGCTTAAGTTTTGGTTCAGTTTGATACGGGTTATTTGGATGCAGGAAAAAATTCTGACCACTCAATAAAAATTCTGACTAATGCATTTACATTACTGTGCAAAAGTATTTAAAGGTATTTATGTGGGTAGTAAGTGTTTATTTGTAAGAAAAAAATACTAACATTAAAATAAATACATTTCAGCGCAGAGGCTTAGTTTTTCAGGCATTGTCCGAAAAGGCAAAGGATTGGGGACCTTCAGTAAAGAAGAATCTGAGATCTGTGCTAATTATTAGTTAATGAATGTATTACATTCAATGAACTCTTAGTATGTTTTGTGCAATTATTCTAATGTCTTTCTAAGGACAACGCTGGATACACTATGCAACGTGGCTGTAGTTATACGCAGACGTTTGTGCACCCCGGTCAAACGTTTGGTTGATTTTTTAAGTAAAATAAATTTTAAGTAAATAAACACATCCTCTACAGAGATCAATCTTACACATGAAAACTGCAATATTTTAACTTTTCAAATATGCAATATTTATTGCACAACAAATATTTATTTTAATTTTAGCACAGACCACCTTTTATGTTTTATATATTTTTCAATGTTATATTCAGTAATTGCGCATTAAAATGTGCAGAAGTGTGTTCTCTGTAGAGGATGTTTTAACTTAATTTTACTTAGAAAATGAACAAAACATGTTATTTCACCAGGGGCACCCAAACATTTGCATACGACTGTATATGCTGCATTCAAGTGATCTCCGATTTCCCACCAGAAAGCACCACATGCCCAGCCTTCTCAAAGCCAGGTGATGAAGTTGGATACATTGAAAATTGTGACATCAAAGCTACTTTCACTATATTTTACAATGTCACTATGCAAATAGTAATGGTAAGTAACTCCCATTTTATGTCTGCTTGGTTGTTTTTCTTAAAATAAAATCATACCTGGAAGATGCCAGCAAGGCAATAAACTACAACAACAATTTCACATCCTCCGTGTTTTGTTTACCTCCCACATAAACACGAGTGCACACGTTGGATAAATGACTTCCTTTTCGGAGAGTGTCAGGAAAACTACTACACTAACTTACACTTGAAAATAGCAATAGACAAACAGGGTTGTCAGGTCCAGCAAAAATTCTGTTTACATTATGGCCAATGGAACCGAAACTAGCCTCAAATTTCTCACTGTTTCTTGCATAATACTCTACTATGACCACACACACACTACCACAATACACTGTTCCAAAATCACTGTTACAAATGTCTCTAAAATGCAGCTGCTAGCGTTCTTATGCACGCTAGAAACTTTCGTATAACGCCCAAATTTAAAACTTCGCTTTGGCTACCTGTATCCCTTAGAGCTGACCAACAACCTTGTGATGTGTTCAGTCACTCAGATCTTCCAACAGCAACCTGTTGGTCATCCTGTAACTCAAATTAGCTGAGTAAGTGCAGGACCCGCTTTCATTTATTACGAGGTCAAACTATGGAATTCCCTCCTTGACTACATGAGAACCATAAGAGTCACTCAGCACTTTTAAAAAGCACCTTAAAACACACGTTAGGTTGCTTTAAATGCCATTTAAATGCATTTACATGCAAGTTTCCCACCTTTACATTTTGTCAGACAAGCTGGCTTCATCGGTAAGCGGACTTCTAATGACATCACATCAAATGTGCTCCAGACTTGCTCTCTCGTCTCCCTTCCTCTCTCATAAAATGCTTATGGGCTCAACTGTATTGTACAGTATGTTCTTGTGCCTATATTCAATATCATAATCAATATACAACACTGTGTAAAAGTCTCAAGGCATTTAAACGTATTTATGTGAGCAGTAATTCTTTTTTGTAAGAAAAAAACAATTATACAAACAATACAATTGTGATTATGTCTTCTTTGCTGATGGAACTTAATAAATCAATGCAATGGCTGAAGTGCACCAAGAAGTTAGGAACCAAAATATGTTCTCCTAACTATATTCTTCTAACCAACATATCGATAACGTTTTAAAAGTAAGAAATTCTTGTCACGTTTTCCTGCATGTATGTTCTTTTGCAATTATTCTTTATTATTTATTAATATTATAACATTTTTAATGGCACAAACACTGCCCACATAAAAAGCTTTAAACAGTGCTCATGGCTGCCTAAGACGTTTGTAGACAGTACTGTACAATTATAACATAATTAATTCTCATATTTTCCTGACTTCTTATCCAACCTTTTTGGTGAACTCAATACCAAAAAAATCAGACCACAAAATTGAACCCTGTGACTCTCCAATCTTCACCTGTGAAGGCATTTTAAAACCTGAACCTGACAACTCTTTGGACAAAACAAAAAGAGGCTTATATAACATAGAGATTCAAATTTATTCATACAAACAATTGATGCTTGAGGCAAAATGGAACCAGTGAGTCAGCACGCCAGTAATGATGGAAATTCTTGTTTAAAATGAGAAAAAATTTTGTGTCATATTAAGCAAAGAATGCAAGTGCAGAAAAACACTAATCCGAGTAGACCTAGTAATAATCTTCATTATTTTTACATGTAAGATTATGGTCTCTAATTTCTGTATGGAAGGTTTAACAATGCAAAAAAGGGCTATACTACGATACTTTATACTGTCTCATCCTTTAAAAAACTAGACACTTACCTACTGTAACACTAAAGAATATAAATGATGTGATCAGGCTATGCTGACGTGAACATGGCTGATAAATGAATGAAAGTAGTTCAGTTCCAACACATTCAATTAGTCAAGCAATTCGACTGCAGATGACATTTATATGGAGGAATGAATTATTATTTGTGCTGAAATATAGTCTGTTCAGGATGATAGAGCAAGAAGCGCAGTAAATGACTCCAGGGTAATTATGAATCAACAGGATATAACTCACACAACAACAGCCTCCTTTAGAGAGCGCATACATAATAATACTGTAATCTACAAGAGCTCAGCCACATCACTGAGCTGCGAAGTAAAGAGATATAAAGACAAAAAAAAACTTTGTAATTATTATTATGAGATATTTAAGATGAGAGGGCCTACATCTAAATTCAGCAATGTCTTTAAACCCAAGCTGGTGTTTAAAAAAATGAAAAATAAATAAGTAAATATATAATATATATAAATATATAATATAAAAAAACAACCCTACACGTACACTTAATCTTAACCTTTTAAGACTTTTAATAAGAAGTTATTTATGTGAATGTACTGTATGTATTAAACATGAAAGGTGTTACAAGACAAACCAGTCAGGAATTAGCAGGTGTCCTATCACTATAACATCCTACAAGATTTAATCTATTGAATGAATGATTGTAAGAGGCACCTTAAATCTAACATAAACAATTTTCTCTTGCTCCAGATCAACTGTAGGACATCCAAAGAATCTGAACAGCACCTTCATCATCCAAATAATGCATCCAAAAAGTGCTCACAGCAGTTTAAAGAAAAGACTTTGTTGCTCACCATCTGAATGGGTCTCTTGCACAGGTCCCTCTCAGTGACCAGTCTTTCCTGGTCGGTGACATACAGGCCTTTCTGAGCCAGAGCCTGGATGACCGCATCGTGGCCCAGCAGGGGTTTGGCCGCATCACTTTTCAGGATCAGGCTCCCAGCGCGGCAGTACAGTTCGGCCGACAGCAGCAGGCTGGCTACCGGTGGCTTCAAGTGCTCCTGCTCGTACTGGTCAGTATAAAAGGGATCCTTCAGGTCATCCGGGACACTCTCTGGGGAGGTGAAAATAGAAATGGGAGCTACAGCTGGTGTATTTACAGAACAATTATGTTGTGTTTGAAGATAATGGGAGGGAAAAATACATATGAGTATGTGTTTGCAATGTCATAAGTATGTAAAGCACTGTTCAAACTGGATTATCTTAGCTGGGGCTTTGTAATGCAGTTTGTAAGGGGGGAAAAACTGGTCAGTTCACACAGAATTAAGAAACTGTGTAATTTCTCCTAATCACCACCAATAGTCTCGAATTGAAACGGCACAGGCTGGATGTTTACATCAGTGTCACGCAAGAGTCGGCACATTCAATAACAATAAAAACACAGCACATGGTCACATCTATTAACAGTATGAACAGGACTGCTATCACTGAAGGAGGTCATGCAGTTACCGAAGATTATTCGCTTTTACCCCTACCCCTTCTTTTCGAGTGTCACCTTGAAATCTTCCCCTATGAAATGGGACAACCCTCAAATACAAAAAGGACATTACTTCATTAAGAGGCTACTAGTTGTCCTCTATAGGTGACCGTGCCAGTCTGCAGTGATAGCAGAGGAGGATAAAGTTCAGTAACCTCACTGCTGGGCTTTGGTTAAATTTAGGGCATCATATGCCTTCAAAGAGGGGGGGGTATATAAATAATATTAATATTTATTTAATATAATATTTATTTAATATAATATTTATTATTATCGCCTCCTAATTCTTTGGTGATATGAAGCTGAAGTCAGCTATTTGCCAGCTTTTTGTTCAAATTTTCCTGTTCCGCCTTAAATGGTGCAGGAGTTCTGATGCCTGAGGCGGCAGAATGTAACTGCTGCACCATTGAAGGTAAAACAGGAATTTTAGTTAGCTAGCTACTAAGACATTAGCATACTACTACAATTTTTTTTGCTTGTTATGAAGAAAAGGACCATAATGCGCTGAAATGACATCAGACTAAGATAATGCAATGGTTATAATTTTTCAACTAAGAAAATTTTACATTTGTGGGTTTCTTTGGTCACTTGCGCTGCCCTCTTGCCAGTTTTTCGTTGTTTATTATTACACTCTGTTTGGAGTGTTGCTCTGAAAAACCTCCATTTGGAGGGCCATGTAGCCCTAACACTTCACCCTACCGTTCTGTCTTAATAAAAATTGGGACACCCTAACCCTAGGTGTGAACGCGCAAAACTGAGGAGTAAGGGCTAAGTGGTAGGGGCAAGGGGTGAAATTGGACTGGGCTTTATGTTGCTCATAGCAAGAAATTCTGGTTATTCATACCAGAAATATTGTTGTCAGATTTTCAACACCGTAGATTCACAGCAGATTAAAACCACAGATCTCGCCAGGATTCATTCAGATTAGAGCACCTCCATAGGTAAAACTAATCCAGCTCAAATATAGCTTAAGATAATGGGAGTAATTACAGATCAACACTAACCCTGCTTCGATCTTGAGTTCTAAAATCATTTCTGAATTCAGTAAAATATCACTATAGGACTGTGTAAGATAAGTCTGAATGGTTGCAAAACCAAGTGTGGCACAGAAAAGCTTGATGTACTGCAGTAAATGACATTCTGTATTGCTTCTACAGTTATTTGAAGAAAATGACTGCCTTGAATTGGTACTACACTCACTCATCAGGATAAGGAGGCTGATTTGAGTATGAAAGAAAGAGAAAATTCTTCTGTATATGGTAATATCAGTCAGGCCAAGTCATATGAAAGTAAATAACTTCACAAGATATTACTGATAAAACTGAAGCTCTAATAAATGCACTGAAATACAGATCAACATTTACACCCCAGCTCTGTAACTACAATCATTATGAGTCAGACTAGCATCCCTGCAATGACAATAATGAGTAGTTATACAACCAGTACCTACAGTAGTGATTTCCAAAGTAACTGCACACTTGAAAGCTCCCAATGCTAGTGTGAATATTGAGGTCATTGTGTCCTCAGAGAGATGGGATGAGCTATGCTACGCTATTTGTGGTGAGGAGAGAATTAAAACAGTGGCAATTCATTATAACAGCACCTGCTGATAAAATATGAACAACAACGAATACCATAATAAACCTATCCATACTCCATTCTTTTGTAGCTGCTGCTTCTACGTTTAGAGTGCATTATGAATTTCAATTGATTTTTATTTTGGATGCACTCTGTGCTTCAACTTCTCAGAATGTTGAATGGGATTTTTTTTAATCAATGTTCTATAAAGCTTGCCCAACCTGGCAACAGTTGCTAAGAAGGAAAGCATCTCTGGGTGGAGAGGTGGAGAGCATAGATAGATCAATTATATCAAAAGATGGTGCATTTCAAGATCATACTGTAAACTGGTGGATATCTGAGGAGCTGGGCCTTGACAACTTGAGCATAAAACATGACCATCTCTGGCTGGACCACGGTTACTATGACAACTATGTTGCGCTTGATCTATTCTCCTGCACTACGGCTCTGCCCAAGAGCTCCTCAGGAGTTTCATCACAGAGAGAGAGAGCGAGAGAGCGGCAGACACATTCCACAGTACAAGTGAGGGAAGCAGGATTCAAACAGAATTTCTGAAAGGGCTTAGAAGTCATCAGCCTGTTGGAACTCACAGTTGCTGAGCTTCAGTTTTGAGCAATCATAACAAGAAACTAGCGCCGTTATATACTAGTAATTCATTTGGAGCAAGAACACAGGCACTGATCCTGGCCTGGCCTGGCAGTGCCTAAATCATTTCAGGGATCAGCACAACACATAATGTTCCCATGAGAGTCAGTTGTAAAGCAAGGGCAGCGCAGAGAGTAATGCTAAAATCCCTCATACAAATAATAGCTTAAGTAGGTGGCTGTGACCACACAAAACCCAAAGCAGCAAAGCAGCGACTATTTCAGTTCTGTGGTACTGGCTCTGTAGAACAGCATACACGCCTTGGATTGAAGTCGCTCAGTGTTGGGTTTTGTTAAACCAACGGACTCGCACAGTAGACTAGGATTAAACTAAAACATTTTCCAAACTCATGGTTCTTCCCAATAGTTTGGCTGCAAAATCAAATGAACAATTTCCCCCTCACCCCAAAATGTCCAAGATGTTTGCTGTCTAAGATTATGGAAGCTTTACCTACTAGTTAGCATTGTGCAAACTGCTTGCCTACAACATCACACACTCACCTCAGACTGCATCCAGTTGTTAGGGAATCTGAAGTAGACTTCCTAATGTGGTTTCTGACACTATATGGCATAATGCTAACTAAAATATGGACAAATGTCAGGCTTAAAAACAGCTGCTACTACTGTTTTTAGCCATTGTGGGATTAATAAAGGGTAACTTAACTTTAAGTGTGGTGCCCTACCCTTATTTTTTTTGTTAGCTCAGTAGCCCTTAGCTTACTAGAAGGTGGCAGAACAAATAACAAACTTAAAATGCTTTAAGGGTTTTCCCAAAGGGGATATGGTAAGAGCAAACTGATGAGGTCAAGTTCAACAGTTTTAAAATGGAAAGTAGATGCTGTCATTGAGATTATGCTTGAAGATTCCACTGTTAGCACGAACGCCAATTTAGGTAATATTTTACAATGTTGTTTATATATGTGTGTATTTTAAAAAGGCAATCAATTTGGAAGCAGCACATGCATAAACACCATTTCAAATAAAAAAACACAACATTAGAAATCAATTTTCCAATTTATAGTATAGACCACTGTCTTATTTTCTTGTTGAGGAAATAGGCAATATGGGAACATAAAGCTATAGCCCATGAAAATTTCAGTGAGGAAACATAAGGCCCTGGGAATACAGGACTTTCCAAAATTTCCAAAATTACAAAGGGCATAGGGAACATAGGACCCTTAGAACATAGGGGACTAGGAACAAAACGAATGACCCCCTTTTGTCCATTTTTAGAGAACTGTATATCATACAGTGTCAAAAACCACATAAAGAAATATTTACTTATCAACTCGACACAGTTGTGAATGTAAAATTTGGCATAATCTGCTAAACTGGTTGATATGTTTTCGTTACTTGTAAGCTACATTAGCCGCATAACCCAGTGCAAAACTAACAAAGCTAATTTTAGACCTTGGTTGATTCACTACATTAAAAGGTGAGTAGAAAATGTTATACATTTGACATTATGTTGAATCACTGCCTAAATACAGTGAGTAAATAGCTTCTTCAGGTTTTTAAACGGTCCAACTCTAAACATGGTAATATATCACACCATCTTGGTGTTTACTGTTGACGCATCTGGTCAACGTCTTCTGAAGTTAGGCCTATATGGTCACATGTGCAAACAAACTGCGCTCCCCAGGAGCAGACATCAGTGGGTGGTCCCCAGGTTGCTGCCCAACAGAAGACACAGGGTGTCTGTCAATCAAGCTAAAAAGCTTAAGCCTCCCTCTATCCTTGAGTTCAAAGTCATGCCAGAATGAGATGGCAGATAATGAAGTGTCTCAATGGAAACCGTGTGGGTATTCATTCTACATTTCATGTGGACAAGAACAGCTGACTGTACATTTTAATGAGGTGGTGCGAAACAATCCAGATGGTTGTCACATCGGTTACACACTTACTTCAGGGAGCTCATCCTGCTGCATAATAAAAAACAACAAAACACCCAGCTATGCTCCGTTGCTCACATGTAAGCAGAGTTTCATCAGTCTAATGGATGATCTTTATGAGCTCGGTCTACGTAGAAGTGACCATGAAAAGATTGGTGACCTCATCTTTTCTGCCTTTACTCAGCTGGCAATGGTTCAATCACACATTTAAATCTTAATATGTTATTATTTGAATTACTGCATGGTAAGATTAAAATACACTTACAAAAATAATTAAATATCGAAATTTAAAACTGTATCACCAATATGACCCTCTGCCTTTCTGAGGGTCTCTCATTTGCCGGCTACTGTTTCTTCATAACAAAGTGCACAAAAGGTCACACCAGTGCGCACAATGAGCACAGAAATGTCATGGCATAGGTGTGTGATTCCTGTACGCAGCTGGATCTAAAAGTCAGAGATCTACCAAGAACCATTTTATTCCACTACTTATGAAAATCTAATGCAATTTTTCAAATAATTAATAAATTAAATTTGTCAAAGAAGATTACGCCGTTATTCTCTTATCTTCGCTGAAAGATTAGCGAGTTAAATACATCCACCATTTGCCTTAATCACAGCTTGATCTTTGTCTGCCACTGATTCTACAAGTTTCTGCAGAATTGGAGAATCCAAAGAGAGTGTAGAGATGTCACAGTGTGTTTTTCTTTTATCCTTTTAAATGGTTTCCCAGTGATGTTCAATGGGGTTGAGGCCTGGTGGCTGTTTTCTAAAAAAAAAAGATTTCTTAGACAGCTGAAGAAAGGATTTGTCTCAGTTTTAAATATATATTCCAGAATAATAAGGAATGAAATTAAAGCACTTACAGGTAGTGCCCTTATGCAAATGATTTATAGTAATACTTTTAGTGTTTCTACAGGATTCCTATAAGAATCTCATAGCAAATTCAGATAATTATCATAGTTTACTACAGGACGCAGTTGACAGTAGACAGGAATACGGTATATTTAGCAGGGACAAAAATATTAGTATTAGTAATAGAGTATTAGTATAGACTTTTTTTGTAAAGGTGGATACAGACTTTTGGAGCATTTTGTATTTAATAGGACAATATGCATATGTGTGTAGTGTGTAATAATAATCATTATTTAGCAGAACTTAACAGATAACAGACAGTATAATAAAATGTCAGTGTGACATTCCCTTCATTTCCAACATGAACTTGCAGTGATCATATTTTAAATAATATAATATTTTTCTATAATGGAACAAGGCAGTATTGACATACTTAGTAATCTATATAAAATACGTCTTCTTTCCAATAAAATCAGTGACCCTCACACAACGCAATGATCAAATCATCTTCTGGTTTGAAAATACAAGGTCTACTCTGTATTATGTGCTGCCAAACAGTGCAAACAGCTGGAATAATGTGAATCATATGTAACGTTATTAAGCAGCCATCAAAACAACGATTTCTCTAAAAAATGATTAAACAAAAAAAAACAAAAAACAAAAAAAAAAACGGCTCAAGAACAAGAAAAGGACGCCACCTACCTGTACCAAAGGCTTTGGCCACTAGCCATGTGAGACTCGCTCGGGTTTTCGCTCTGTTAAAATCATAATGGTCAAAAGACTTAATGGTAGGAACAATGAAAGTCTTTTTCCAGTCCTTTGCCTCCGTCAGATCCCCCATATTCACAGGCAGAAGAAGGGTCAGCAGCACCAGCCGTGTGGTCGCCTACAGGTCCGAAGCGAACGATGACATCCTTCCTAAGGAATTCACTGCACCAAAACTGTATTTATGGGTCACTTTTAGTGAATATCGCCCATCACATCTCCTATTCTTGTAATGCTGTTCAATTACAGGCTAAGTTCTATTAACAAGGGGCTTTTATTCATCGCGATCCCATTCGAGCCAAAAAGTGGGGTACAGCCCTGAGACTGTCATCCATTCTGATCCCTCTGTGATTGCTAGCGAGTCCCTCTTAAAGAAACACGCATTGTGTGTTTCAGATGGCCTGGAAGCGAGATCCCGATTCAAGTCGTCTTTGTCCTCTCCATGAACTCAGACTGCTCCTTCATGTCCTCGCAGTCCCCGCTTGAATATTTACGGTATTCCCTCCTCTAGTGGACCTCTATTCATCCACGCTGCGCTGCGGTTTTCCTGCCGCACCGTCCTAAACGCCCCTCTTGCGCATGCGCGGTCCGCCCAGCACATCAACAATCCCACACGGGTTAAAGTGAGCTGGAAATGGGACTTTGAGAAAGGGCAGCTTCTTTTTTAAGAACTTAATTGAATTTCAAGATCATATACAGTAAGATAAAAAAGCATTACATTGCCACAGCCTGTGTAGCCTGTACAAGATTTCTAGTGGAAAAAAAGAAAAGTAAAATCTTAACCATATTTTGTCTGTTTGAAACAAAACAAAACGAAAAAAACTATCATGTCATTTATCGTGTCATTTATTGATATATTCGAAATCAAATTTATTGTTGGTCGTTTACTCAAAAAAAGCTGTGGTGAAAGATTTTTACTGAAAGATATTTTCTCTCATCAAGTTGTCTTTTTTCTCGTTGTTCTTTCTCTCTAGTTTTTCTCTTTTTTAATGAAAACAAAGGCGTGATTAACCTTTCCTATTAAAAAAATACATACAACGTAAACTTGGTGTATGCTATAATCAATGTTATGTGTATGCAATAACTGCTGTGAACATTACTAACGTATGTTTAACTACAGCACCCAGGATTCCACTGGTCATGTGCGTCATACTTATGCGACAACACCAGAATACCGACCATACGATTAAACCGGTGTTGTATTGTTTTTATACTGTTTTGCATATTCTGTAATTAAGTTCTTGGACTATGCAGATGAAAATATTCCGCCCTAAGTGTCTTAAAAGTCAGCGTTTAAACTGACATACTGTTGTCGAAATTGGCTAGTATTGTTCTCGTATGGCTGTGTGGTTCTGAGCCTGCAAAGATGTTTATGCCAAGATCTCTGAAGCTCAAGAGAAGCTCGGACAGTCAGCCACAGACTACAGAGTTGAAGAAAAGCAAAACGAGCTCGGAGGATACTGTTTCTTCGTCGTCGTCTCTTGCTGCGGATTTGCCTGGTGAAGATATAAGCTCTCCAGCGACAGTAGACAGTGGGCACGAACCGTGCGAAGTTACAGAGACCCCCGTATTACAACACGAACAGATTGAATCACAGGGAAAGCCCGAGGAAACCGAGGCAGAGAAGGAAAATGAGGAGGAACATGAAGAGGAACCCGTGAAGTCCTTCAAGAAGAGCCAGAGGTGGCCTGAGCCTGGGGAACCTGTGTGTGTCATGTGTGGTCGTTATGGAGAGTACATTTGTGACAGCACTGACAATGATGTGTGCAGTCTGGAGTGCAAAGCGAGTCACCTGGCCAAAATGTGCATGGGTCTTGGTGAAAAGGTCTTCTCTAAGACCAAACAAGAGGGCACAAGTGTCCCTGCTGTATCAACAGACGCTGACCACACTGCAACTGGTGTTGGCGCCCATGAAGGTGGTTACTCCTACAAGGAGGATGCCTTCATAGCAGAACTGACTGAAGAACAGGTTGAGAGGGTGAAGAAGGAACTGGCAATTGTAACGAATGGCCAGGAGGTTAGCAGACCTATCATTGAATTTGAGCACTGCCACTTCCCTGAAGCCCTCAGCGCAAACCTGAAGAAGGCCAGATATGAGGCACCCACTCCCATCCAGATGCAGATGATTCCTGTAGGTTTAGTTGGGAGAGATGTGATTGCTACAGCTGACACAGGCTCTGGAAAGACCATCGCCTTCCTGCTTCCAGTGGTCATTCGTTCCTTAGAGGTAAAATTCTTTAAGAACAAAAAGAGTACTACAAAGTCAAGCATTCAAACCTATACATCCTCAGCAGACCTGATCAGAATGCTTGTACCTTGATGCAGCGTTATGGGAATTATGTGCCAATGCTCATAGACAATACTTTAACCTGCCATCTGCAGGTATCATTATATAAGACTTTAAAAAATGTAGAAATTGGGACTACATTTAACTGGAGTAGCATTATTTATTTCTGTAGATTTAAAAATGCAGTAATAAATTGTAGCCTAAAAGTTCTTCTTTATCTCTTCCGTAGTACAATAACTGCATCATTAATTATTGGTTTGAAATATCGATCAAATCAAAACATCTGTTTTGCCGAAAACATCTGAATAACAATATATTTTGTTTAAAGCAGTTATCTGCTGATATTGTCATGATCCCTGTATCATTGAATATCACAACTACTTGCGATAAGTGTATTTTCCAGTGCATTTTCTTTTAACTCTCTAGAAAAAATAGATTTGCGGTCAACCATTTTGCCATTAAAACTGTTTTTTTTCCCTAACATACTAAGGAGATTTAATCTATATGCTGCTTAATTTGTATAATTTGTACATTTTAAATCACTAGTTAATGTTTTAATTAAATTGGAATTTTTTTGTACTTGAACTGAATTTGTAATTTTGTATCATTGATTTCTAAAATGCTTCTAAATTTCAGTCAGTAAAGGCACAACTTTCACTCTAAAAATAATTTCCTACACTAGAAGTGGCAACATGGCAAAAATATATCATCACGATAATAACATTTTCTTGACAAATGATATGCATCATAATATTTCATTTTCTGAGGTTTGATAAGTTGGAACAGACAAAAAAGAGCCAGTAGTGCCACAGCTAAAAACATCAAAAATATCAAAACCTATAAATACAGGGATTTTTATTCAACATTTGACATGCTGCACCACATTAAATCCAATGAAACAGAATGCTCTCTTTGTAATGAAACATGCAGTTGATCAGTGTTCTTCAAGTACAATATCCACAATATGCTCAGAAAACCGTATTCTGACAAAATGTGACATAATGCATCATGACAGTGATGAATAATTTTCATATTGACCCTTTCCTCAGTTTTTTCGTTTGTGTGTTATTCTCTATTGTGGTAATCTTACTTAGGCCTATGTTTGTTTGCTTGTCAGAGTGAAACAGGTAATTCACCTGGTCCTACGAGTGTTATTCTGACTCCAACCAGAGAGCTGGCTATCCAGATTGAGAGACAAGCGAAGGAGCTGATTATAGGGCTTCCCAACATGAGAACTGCTCTGCTTGTAGGAGGAATGCCTCTACCTCCTCAGCTCCATCGGCTTAAGCAGAAGATCAAGGTAATGTTCAAAGCTGTGCTTGTCACAGCATTCTCAAAGTGTTCTGAGAGCTTTGTGCACAGCAGCCAGGGGTTTTCTACATTTCAATTCAGTGCAGTTCGACTTTGTCTTTACACATATACACAAGCTTCAAATATGATAAATGTATCTGACTAGTCCAAATATTGCATTATTATGTGAACATTTAACATGTTTGTAGTGATAATGAAATATTCAGTGCAGCAGACTAGAGCAGATTCTTCAGACAAATACAGTGGACAACCATAAAGGCCTAACTGAAGTCATTTTGCTCTTTTATTCAGGTTTTGTTTTCCTGTAGTTCAGTCTATAAATGCCTAATGCATGTTCCTTCTGCGCACAGATTGTGATTGCAACTCCAGGGCGTCTCATTGAGATTCTAAAGCAGAATGCTGTACAGCTTGACAATGTGAGGGCTGTAGTTGTTGATGAGGTATGCTTTTGTTTGTTCTTTGGTGGAATTTGTTCCTTTATTCCGTTTTGCTTCGACCTGCACTCTTGTACATGCTCTTATTTTGTGCACCTCAGGCAGACACTATGCTGAAGATGGGATTCCAGCAACAGGTGCTTGAGATCTTGGAGCAAGTTCCTGATGACCGTCAGACTTTGTTGACATCTGCCACAATCCCTGCAGGAACAGAGCTGCTAGCATCTCGTCTGACTCAGGACCCTGTGCGCATCACTATTGGTCAGAAGAACCAACCCTGCTCTAATGTTCGCCAGATCGTTCTCTGGGTAGAGGAACCATCAAAGAAAAAGAAGCTCTTTGAGATTCTGAATGTAAGTGATGAAATTATTTATTTTACAGACACCAAATTTAATATCTACGATGCATGCATGAACATGAAAACGAACATGAAAAAGAACATGAAAAATGAACATGAAAAAGAACATGAAAAATGAACATGAAAAAGAAGCTCTTTGAGATTCTGAATGTAAGTGATGAAATTATTTATTTTACAGACACCAAATTTAATATCTACGATGCATGCATGAACATTCAACTTTCATTGTTCCTATTCACTGTGCAATATAAATTTAGATAGTTTTTATGTAGCCTTCAAACTGGAATGCATTCATTTCTGCAGTGGAATTGGTGATACCTAGTGGAGTGGGGATATGTTGCACCATATTTAGACAGCTGCTGAAATTCTAACCATACTTTAAAGGAAATGGGAGGGGTCTTCTGGTATGGTCCTAATCCAGGAAAATAGTAACTCCTCATACCTTTCACCCAGAACAGGGAGAAGGAAATGTCTCTTCCCTCAGAGACGTTTTAAACTGTTGTACTTGAAGTTGAAAACTGCACTTCAAAAACTGCACATTAGCATATTTAGACACTGTGTTTTAATGCTCTATTCATACATATATCATCTAAACCGCTTATCCTACTGGGTCGCGGTGGGGTGCTGGAGCCCATCCCAGCTGTCATTGGGCGGAAGGCAGGATACACCCTGGACAGGTCGCCAGTCCATCGCAGGGCAGACAAACAGACATACACAGTCACACACTCACTCACACCTAGGGGCAATTTAGCATGTCCAGTTGGCCTGACTGCATGTTTTTGGACTGTGGGAGGAAACCGGAGAACCCGGAGGAAACCCACGCAGACACGGGGAGAACAGGCAAACTCCACACAGAAATGACCCTGGTCGCCCGGCCGGGAATCGAACCCAGGCCATTCTTGCTGTGAGGCGACAGCGCTACCCACTGCGCCACCGTGCCGCCCATGCTCTATTCAGATTTGCCTATTTACTATAGAATTGAAACCAACTTTGTTCATATGAGATGCATTTGTTCATTCATTCCTGAAGAAACTATCAAAATGTTTCAGGATGTCAGAACATTTGTTTTTGTTTATAAACTGTTATAGTGAAAATTTTATATATATATATATATATATATATATATATATATATATATATATATATATATATATATATATATATATTTATTTATTTATTTGATGGGTTGTTTTACTTTATTTTCACAGGACAGAAAACTCTACCAGCCACCTGTAGTAGTATTTGTGGACTGCAAACTAGGAGCAGACCTTTTGTGTGAGGCTGTGCAAAAGGTTATGGGTTTAAATGCAGTAGCTATTCACTCTGACAAGACACAGTGGGAACGCAATCGAATCCTGAAGGTAATTTTTTAAATTAAAGAGGTATTCCAGCCTAAAACTAGCATTTAATATGTTGTCATATTATATAATATACTGAAGCAAAGCACTGCATCCCTCAGCAAAACATCAAACAGGCCACCCTTAAGTGTCTGACCCAGAGGGCTTGTTATTTTTTGAAAATTCTTTTCACCTTCAAGTTACATCATCAAAAAAGGCTTTTCCTAACATTTAATCTGGAAAATCTCACTCTAGACTGTAGAGACTGTGGTGGCACCACTGCAGGAGGCGAGTTGACAACAGACATCATGATGGCTAAATGTTTTGTTTTGGTTGGAGTGTCCCTTTAAGGACAGAAATATTCATTGTAAAGTTGATTTTTAAATGTTTATATAGTCGATTCCACCAATATCAGTTCCAATATCTGAGTTTTTCCTTTTCTTAAGGGTCTGCTTGAGGGCCAGTTTGAAGTGGTGGTCAGTACAGGCGTGTTGGGCAGAGGACTGGACCTGGTCAATGTCAAGCTGGTGGTGAATTTTGACATGCCAACTAACATGGATGAGTATGTTCATCAGGTATGGTGCACAAGTGTTCTACAAACCACTGATAGTGAGGACAACTGGTATAGAAATGCAGTAGTATCATAATCTCAGTGTGCTTGTAGTGAAGGTGTCATTATGGTTTGTGTTGTAATGACTTATTTACCTTTAAATGTGTAATTGTGCTTACAGATTGGCAGAGCAGGAAGACTGGGGCACAGAGGAACAGCCATTACCTTCATGAACAACAACAATAAGCGCTTGTTTTTGGACATTGTGAACAGAGTAAAACCCACAGGCTCCTTGCTTCCCCCACAACTCCTCAACTCCCCTCACCTCCACGAACAGCAGAGGAGGGCCAGACAAAGGAGTAATCAAGGACAGGATGATGTCGTGACCAAAAACAACCTTATTGACATTATTAGAAGGCACGACAGGAGCTGTGCAAAGAAGTAACAAGGACTTTTGATACATTTGATATGTACATTTGCAATTTTATATTTACTTTCAGTAAATAAAAGTGTTACATTGAGTTGCATCATCTGTTTCCAAAGACAATGGTAGTGCTTCAGAATGCACCTTATCAGAAACAAGGCCAATATGCGTTAGAGGGCCTTTATCATAGGAAAAAAAGATTTATTTGTCTTGGAATAAGAGTCTGACACTGTATGTAAATATTGCTATTTTTTTTAAATATACCATTTACTTCCCAGTCTATATATGGGAACTAAGCTGCAAAAGCTGCCCATTTTGAATTCCTTGTTAAAAAATGTCATACATTCACCTATTCAGCCTACAACCGTCGAGGGCTGCCCATTCACACTTAAAGAGTGTTTGGGCCCAGAGTACTTGTAGCAAAAGCAGCCGGTTTAACTCTATGGCATAAAGAGAGGTTGGAAATGGTCATGTTGGAATGAACTGGGTGGTTTTGATACATAAAGCCACAAAAATGTCTTAACTGGACCCCAGAAAAGGCAGTATCATACAAGAAGACTATATGATATGGGCCCTTTACTTCTCAGTTTTCCTCAGCAAAGTCCCCAGCCAAACCAAACCTGGAGGAGTTGCTCGGTAGTTGATTTACTTGTGTGGGAAGTGATTCTGTTGCAGGTGTCGTCTGCTGTGTTCTATCAAAAATGTCTTCTCTCTAGCTCTATCTTTTTAATCCCTTAATGTCCATATTGGACTTTTACATTTCCTTTGGCCCATATGTTCTCTAATCTTGCATGAGCTCACATTTGAAAGTTTTTCAAACTGATCAAACCATTTTAACAAAACTACAAAATCCTAATCTGGTTGTGAATAAGATATGAAAGATATAAGATGGGTTCTGTCCATCCAAGGTACATTACCGTTAAAAGGTTGGAAATCACTGGTTGTAGTAATATAAAACCAATTTGGTTGCAGACAAGTGCATAAAATGGTCAGAATATGATAATCCTGTTCAAGTTTACAGGTTTTAAATAATGGGTAGGACACCACGAAGCTGTAAATAAAAATTAAGAAGGTTTTTGTGTCCTGGATGATGATATCAAAAATTTTTAAATGAGAAAGCTGTATAGCATGGATAATGAATTTCTAATAAAATTAATATCCAGATGTCATCATACTTCAAAAGTAGAGATCAAATCTAACAGCAGATAACTTGACAATAAATAAAAACAGGATGTAAATAGGAGTGTATTATTTGATAAAAATACTTGAAATATTTAACAACATTTAGAAATATCTAGGCAAACTGTTGGCAATATTTAAATCCACATTGTAAAAATTATTATTATATATAAAATAAACATTGTTAATAATGGTAAGTAATTCAAAACTTTTGAACACTACACTTAGAAATAAAGGTTCTGTGCAGGTACATTTTTCATTCATCAAAAGGGACAACAGTGGTTTTAAGGTCCAATTGTGTACCTTAAATACATTTTTCCAGGTGAAAAGTGCATATTTGTTTCTTCTTTCTTTTCATGTCCTGTTTTAAAATAAAATGAAAAGCCTGGAGACAACTTAGAAAATGTCATATCAATAGATTATGGTACAATTACGTTCACTGACTAAAGGTACTCAGATGTACCCCTGAGGGTACCACCTCTGTGACAGTTTGTAGTGTAGAAAAATCACTTTAGATTTATCAGAACAAGTTCTGTGGCAGTTTTCTTATACGAAATGTAGTTGTTGGACATGGATGTGTTCATTTTGCCGTTCAATCAAAAACAGCGACGTGCCGCCACCTGTCGACAAATGAGTGTCACTACACCACCTTACCAGGACATATTCAGTGACGTAATCGCTTTCGGTAGTCCAATAACATTGAGCGAGAGCTTTTTGAATTGAAGCGGCAAGATGGCGGTGTAGACAGCAGTAATAGTGCGAGTAAAAGGTAAACAAAGCATCGCAGTAGTCACTAAATATCTATTTATTTTTACTTTTTGGTAGTTCGCCATTTAGCGTGCATAGCAACAAAGTTGTTATTAGTTAAATTAGCTTATTTTAACGTAGATATCACTTAGCTACAGTTACACTAAATGACCGTGACTCGCCTCCGATTAAGCCAGACTGTTCCTTGTTAGTTAGTGTTTGCAGTATATATAGCTTTTAATTACTTTTTTTAAAGAGTAACTTGTTTCGCTTTTAGTCGAGAGAATTATTTCACTGTAGTCGTAAAAGTGGAAAATGGACGACTTGAAAGGCGATGAAGTATCATCTCTAGATAAGAGTAAAGATATAAACAAGACGTATATAATATCTGCGATGACAAGTAAATATGGAGAGAGATCAAGCATCATGTCCTCCCGTGGTCGGCCCACTCTTCAGAAACGAAAAACAAGCACCAAAGGAACCGAGCACACAGCAGCACTCGAGAACACCGAGAACCGAAGCGACGCCCACGGGAAACGGCTAACCTTACAGCGGAGGACCAGAACGGGCTCGGTAGATAAAGGCACCCCGTCTGCGGCCGAGAAAAGAGCATGGGCGAGTTCAGCCGTCCTGTCAGAGCCAAACAGCCGGGCACCGGGCAGTTTAGCCCTGCTGCGGTCGGCAAGCCTGAGGGACACGGAGGCTAAACGCACCGCCAAAGACGTACTTCAGCTTGTAAACACGCCGAGCAAAACTACAGAAAAGGTAGCACGGTCTGCTCAAAGTGTCGGAGATGTAGCTCATGACCAAGGCAAAACAACCTCAACGCCAACAGGAAAAACCCAGTTTCAGAAGTTAAGTCTGAAGAAAGAAGTCTTTGAGAGACTGGCTGTGAGAGAGGTTTCAAGATCAGTGTCAGTCAAGCCCCATAGTGTGGACAGGCCAAAGCAGTCGAGCACTGAAATTGGCAAACCATTGGTCCCGTGTACTTCTAATAAGAGGTTCCTGGTTAGCAGCCAGAGTAGGAACCTGATGGCCACCCCTCGCTCGACGCAGGTGAGAAAAACCTCAACCCAGTTGAGTTCCACACCCAGTGGAGCCTTGAACTCGGCCAAAGTCAGGCCCACAGCTGCATGCGAAACACTGATCTCTGCTGATGCTGGGAGCCAAACTACAGCTCCACCGGCTCCTGAGCTGAAGATGGAAAACAGCGCAGTCACCGTGGCGGTGCGAGTAAGACCCTTCAGTCTCAGGTAACACACCCAAACTCATGACAATATTAAGTGTTTTTTATTATTGAAAGCAAAACATAGTACACAACAGCAGATGCAAATAAAACAATATGCATATAATAGTGTACACGTACATAAATAAATTTGCGCGGGGATGTATTTAACAACACAGAAATCTTGAAGTACACACACGCAACAACAGTTCTTATAGCTTTCTTTTTAAAGAGGGCTGGATTAATTCATTATAACGCTCCATCTCCTTTTCAAAGGCAACAAAAAATGGCCCTTTGCCTGAGAATTTACAATTATGAATATAAAACTGTTGAACATATTTAAATCCACATTGTAAACATTATTGTTATATATAAAATGGGCATTGTTAATATGGCAAGTAATTTTAAACATTCCACAGTCCATTAGTATACCTTAAATAAGTTTTCCCAGTGGAAAAGTACATGTTTGTATCATAACCTAATGTTTTAAATCAGAACAATAGAATAAAAAGGCTGGAGACGAGACAGGGAGTAGGAAGTCAATACAATTTAGAAAATATAATTTCAGTGGATTATGGTACAATTTTGTCCCCTAAAGGTATTAATTCTTTTCAATAGCCTTTTGCCTATATATCTATATATATCTATATATCTATATATATATATATATATATATATATATATATATATATATATATATATATATATATATTGTGTGTGTTTACATTTAGCTCTGTACATTTAGGTCCTATTTGGAGTGCCATATTAAATAAAAATCATTGTATTATAAGTTCTTTGATAGAATATTATTATTGTGGTTCTTTTTTGTGTGCTCCAGCTTATTAAACCTTAGAAAAATGAAATACTGCGAGACATACTGTATATTGTAAGGGTGTCTTGAAGCATCCTGATGTTATATTTTTGCCATTGTCCACCTCTGTTTCATCCTTTCTTTCAGATATCTCATGTGGCTTTTATGTTAATCTGAGGAACACTTTTTCAGCTGGGTTGATGCATTCAGCAGTTCTTTTTCTTTTGTTTCTTGTGACCAGGGAAAAGGGTGAGAACAGCCATCAAGTGATTTTCATGGACAATCAGGAGACGGTGGTTCAGCATCCGGACACTAAGCAAACCTACGCGTTTTCCTTTGACTTCTCTTTTTGCTCACTTGATGAAACGGACTCTCATTTCGCAAGTCAGCAGATGATTTATGAGAATCTGGCTAAACCCCTGCTTGAAAGAGCTTTTGAAGGGTTTAACACCTGCCTTTTTGCTTATGGGCAAACTGGTTCGGGAAAGTCCTACACGTAAGCAGTTTAATGCTTTCAGAGGTTTCCATGGGTAAAGAGTTCTGTCTCTTATGTAATGTTGTTGGTAAATGACTGTATTTTCTGAATTGTTCTATCATTTCTTCCAGTATGATGGGTTTTGGTGAAGAACCTGGAGTTATACCAAGGTTCTGTGAGGAACTTTTCTTAAGGTTGTCTAGAGCTGACAATCAGGAGGTAAGCTGTCCCAAAAAACAAGGTCCCAATCCTGTCCTTAAGGGGCATAAATCCTGATTTTGCTGGCTTAGTTGTATTTAGTACTGAAATTATAAAAAAAAATGTTCTGAATAGGCAGAATAATAATTCATATTTTGTTTAGTATATTTTAAAGCAAAGGTTTGTCACAGCCATGTGCTTAGATCCATGTTTTTATGTACTTGTGCAGGTCACGTGTCACCTGGAGATGAGCTACTTTGAAGTGTACAACGAGAAGATCCATGATTTGCTTGTAGCGAAGGATGAACAAAACCAAAAGAAGATGCCTGTGAGTAGAATAAGAACTTATCTTCACCTGTTTCCCCATCATAAGCCTTGTGTGTGATGAAGTTTTCTTAAACCCAATCAGTCCCTTGGTTGAAAGCTGACAGTGCAACTTCTAAGTTCTATGATTTTAAAATGTATCTTATCATATGATAATTGCCTGAAGTTTTAACTTGCCTGTTAACTTATATGTAATAGCTAATATAGATCTATCAAATGATTGTACTATATAAGTTCAGATAAAATTTTATAAGCCTGTGTTCTATGTAGGAGTGTAGGTATATTTTGCTAACTAAATCTTAACGCAGCAGAGAGTATTACATTTAAAATATCCTGATTTGAACAATAGGCATAGTTTCAGTGCCTATATATTTTTTTAAATATTACAATTTTGCCTTTTTATTTATGCTTTGTTTCCCACTTAGCACTGTTTCACACTTTTACAGTTTACTTTGTTCCTCTTTTCTAGTTGCGAGTCAGAGAACACCCAGTTGACGGGCCTTATGTTGAGGATCTATCAACGTAAGCATTACACATTTGAATGTTTTTATTGTTTTATTGGTAGTTAGCATCAGCAGTGTTGGTGATTTTTATTGATTTATTTTTTAATAGGAACATTGTTAGCTCCTATGCTGATATTCAGGTAAGCTGGTCTTATATTGGTTAATAATTTCATTAATTTAGATCTAGTAGAATGTAAAGAGAGCTATGTGACTTTTCTTACTCTCTCCTGTATCTTCTCAGACCTGGCTTGAGCTTGGAAATAAACAGCGAGCTACTGCTGCCACTGGCATGAATGACAAAAGTTCCAGGTCTCACTCTGTCTTCACCCTGGTCATGACACAGACTAAGGTTGTTCCTGGCTCTTTAAAGCTCCTTAAAAAAATATATTAAATGTGTTGCTTAATGAAATGTGTTCCTTCTATTGTCTGCATATGTGTTCAGTACCAATGTTCACATTTACCTTTTTAAGCTTATCCATTGCTGTTACCACATTGTGTTACTGTGCATGTGCAGACAGAATTAGTGGAAGGAGAAGAGCATGACCACAGAATCATCAGCAGGATCAACCTGGTGGATTTAGCAGGCAGCGAGCGCTGTGCGACAGCTCAGACCAGTGGAGAACGGCTGAGGGTATTCAGCTTATCAATAATTTCAACAGTTTATTTACAATAAATCCTATATTATTTAACACTCTGCTGAGATTCGGGGCTAATACTGATCTGACAGACCCCGTCTGTTTCTCAAGACCATCTGAATATGGGAGCAGAATAAAAATTTTTGCTGCGAGAAGGATTTAAAGAAGCTAAACTAAAGTAAAACTTTCTGAAAATGTTTCTGAAATCTTTGTGTGTTTAAAATGAATCGTGATAATAGTTTTATTATTCATAGGAGGGTGCAAGCATCAACAAGTCTTTGCTCACTTTGGGGAAGGTGATTTCTGCGCTGTCTGAACAAGCTCAGAGCAGGAGGAAAGTCTTCATCCCATACAGGGAATCGGTCTTGACATGGTGAGAAATACACTGACATCACGTCATGAATAATCTTTTAAATAAATTATAATTTGATCCTTTTTGGCTTCTAAGAAAAGGCAGAATTGTTTTGATTTGTTTAAAAAACATTTCCTTTGTAATTGAGTTTTAACTGCAGTCATTGTGAGATCTGCAATAATGAATGCAGTGTAATCTGCATCAGCAGAGATCTTTGCACGCTGGGATTGCTAATCGATTTGATTAAAATGACTGACAGTACTTGCATCCGAAATCTATTCTTACATTTCACTAAAACAAGGCTATGTTAAAAGATACATATTTGCCATTAAGGTTTAGTCACTGGTGCTTCTATGAAAGTGGCTCTCAGCCTAACTGTCCTCTCTCCTGTGCCTAGGTTACTAAAGGAAAGCCTGGGCGGGAACTCCAAAACAGCCATGATTGCGACTCTCAGTCCAGCCGCCAGCAATGTGGATGAAAGCCTCAGCACTCTACGCTATGCTCAGCAGGCCCGCTTGATCATCAACGTAGCCAAGGTCAACGAGGATACCAACGCTAAGCTGATCCGAGGTCAGAGCCTCCATTCCCTCTGCCCTCCACCTCCACATGAATCACCTGCTTCACTTTCCACTGTTCAATTACAGCCAGCCTTGCCCTCACCACATGTTCCATTTAATGACCTGGGTCTAACACTTGTGTGCGAGATTGTTTAGTGGAAACTTCACTGCGCTTGCTGTCTTCCTCTCAGCAGAGGGCAGTAGACTAACAGAAAAAGCACCTGAATATGTGAATTCATTGTACTGCTTGTATTTTCCTAACCAGAACTAAAAGCAGAGGTGGAGAAGCTGCGGGCAGCTCAGATGAGCTCACAGGGCATTGACCCTGAGAAGATGAGGCAGTTCCAGCAGGAAGTCGCTGCTTTGAAAACTCAGCTCTCTCAGCAGGAGAGAGAGATGGCTGAGGTGCACAGGTAATCCCAAAAGCATTCACATTATAGTACAAGGGATGTTTCATAAAGCAAGATTTTTCAGTAACCTGGATAACAGGTTTAGCTATAAATGAGTTTAACCCATTAAATGTCAGAGATCCATGGTGGGCCTAGCCTTCCATTCATCACTCCTATAGCTTAAATATTACTTGTTTCTTATTTGCATTGTTTTCCATGTAGTTACTGAATAGGAACACTTAAGGTGTATTAAGGCTGTATTAAAATGGAATTCTGATATTTTTTTCAACATTTCTGCATAATTAAATGTTTAAGATATATAAATGAAGTAATTCAGTGCGATTTTATGTGAAACGCTCCGTTTTAGAGGAACTTAGTCACAGTTGCAGAAACATTCACGGCGATGGTGATAGGAACCAGACATCTGAAGAGTCTGATGCCTCTTAAAGCTCCCTCAAACAAAGTTATTACATGAAATTGTTATGAATAGTCTTTCTGATACCTGATGCATTATCTTCTGGTAGTTTTGGAGTAGAAAGTTTTGGACTAAAATATATTTTTTAAAAACCCAGAGGTACATACAGGGTGCTGTAAGACAAAATAGTCCACAAAGGGCTTTTTTCAAGTTTACCACTACTTTACAATTATCAACATCACATGAGTTTTTATACGTTCACTGGTGCTTTTTAGTAAAAACGATGACCTTACGTAGTAGACATTGCAAAGACATCTGGGTTTGTAAGTTTTTGTACAATTAAGCATTTCACATCAAGCATTCACAAAACACTGAATGACTTTTTTCACATCTCAATGATGTAATTACACACAAAATTTGAAAATTAGGTAGAATTCCCCTTTAAAGGAGTGAAATATCTGGCTAACAAAGATATTATGCATCATAAAACACATTTTTAAATGACTTAGCAGGGTTGAGTATTTGGCTAGCTATTTCTCTATTTTGTATTATCTTGTCTAGAACTTGGAAGGAAAAACTGGAGCAAGCTGAGAGGAGGAAACGTGAAGAAACCAAAGAGTTGCAGGTTAATACTTTCTTTTCTATTGTTTCTTTACTATACTTGTCTTCACCTCTAACATGAGCTTTATGACTCTCTTGTGCCCACTCCTCTCATCATGTTTTCTCTCCTTTTTTCTGTCCACTTTCCGTCTATCAGCGTGTAGGCATCACGTTTAAAGTGGATAACCGGCTCCCCAACCTTGTGAACCTGAATGAGGATCCTCAGCTGTCAGAGATGCTCTTGTACATGATTAAGGAGGGACAGACCAAGGTCGGCAAGCTCAAGTCTGAGTCAGCCCATGACATCCAGCTGTCTGGGGCTCTTATTGCTGATGAGCACTGGTAAGATGCCTAAATATACCATGCACACAGCATAATACCAGATGCCTCGAGATCCACATCGACATCTGGTTGCCAAAATATTTTACTTTGGAATTGAACGTGGTGGTATCTGGTTGGTCGTGATGTCTCCCATCATCTGTCTGTCAGCAGAAAGTACAAGTACTTTAAGTCTGGCCAGCCTGTCTGTCAAATAAGCACGTCAGCTAAACATTTGTCCATCACAATAATAATAATAATAATAATAATAATAATAATAATAATGGCTTGACAATGATCTGTATAGAAGGATAAACTGGGACGTGTTCTAGATGTTTAAGATTCATTTGAACAACTCAGTTAAAGATTTAGTGCCTTTACTTAAAGTCTTTAAGACCCCATTTAACACCTGGTCACTTAATTTGACTTGTATCTGGATTGTATCCTGATAAGATTTTAACCACGTGCCTTTACACTTGGTAGTCAAGTGTGTCTCTGGTTAGCTGGACTGAAATCCAATTGCTGTGTTACCAGTTCTTTATCCGCTTAGCCACTTCATCTGCAATTTGATTTGCACAGTATTGTCTATCCATATTGCTATTAAGCATTTTGTTTTGTCTGGTCCCCAACCATGTCCTCCATGATAGCCTTCCTCACAGACACGGATCATCACGTACCCAGTGATATACGGCATGGGGAGGAGTTTCGTTGTACTGGGAGGGGTTTCAGTTGTCAAATGTGTCTTGGAGAGACGCAGGCATTTAGACTGCTGTAACGTGGTCTGAGAAAGCATTATAGCCACCTCCTTAAGTGTTTTGAATGTTTGGAATTGTATCTGTTTTAAATGAGTCTCATCCAGATATAATCCTCATACTCAAGACGCATGAAGTGACCAGGTGTAAATAGGATCAAAGTTGGTGTTTTCCAAACAAGGTGTACTTCACATGTTTTCAAACAACTTAAAAAACAAACAAACAAAAAACCTTCTGTAAGGCATGAATGGAACCATCTACCACATGCGACATGTCTCCTGTTTCATTACAGCACTGTGCAAAAATGATTTCTGTAATGTCTAGTTAAAATGGCCATTAAGTGCAAGTTACTCATTTTTCAGCATGATGCAAAAAACAGAACATCATCATCATCATCATCGTTAACCACTTAGTCCAGATAGGGTCGCGGTAGCAGTTGGGAGAGCAGAGAATCCCAGGTGACCCTGTCCCCCGCAACTTCCTCCAGCTCATTCCCGGGGACCCCAAGCCGCTCCCAGGCCAACTTGGAGATATAATCCCTCCAGCGGGTCCTAGGACGACCCCGGGGTCTTATTCCGGTAGGCTGTGCCTGGTACACCCCTACCGGGAGGCGTCCCGGGGGCATCCAGATCAGATGCCCGAACCACCTCAGCTGGCTCCTCTCAATGCGGAGGAGTAGCGGCTCTACTCCGAGCTCCTCCCGGATGGCCGAGCTCTTCACCCTATCAAATAGAGTGTAGCCCGCCACCCTGCGAAGAAAGCTCATTTCTGCTGCTTGTATTCGCGATCTCATTCTTTCGGTCATTACCCACAGCTCATGACCATAGGTGAGGGTCGGGATGTAGACCGATCGGTAAACAGAGAGCTTCGCCTTACGGCTCAGCCCCCTCTTCACCACTACAGTCCGGTACAGCGACCGCATTACTGCTGCCGCTTGTCCCAGCCTGCGGTCGATCTCACGATCCTTCTTCCCATCACTCGTGAACAAGACCCCGAGATACTTAAACTCCTCCACCTGGCGCAAGTCCTTTCCCCCTACCTGGAGTGGGCATACCATCCTTTTCCGGGCTAAGACCATGGACTCAGACTTGGAGGTGCTGATCCGCATACCAACCGCTTCACACTCAGCTGCAAACCGCTCCAGTGTGCGCTGGAGGCATCCATGTGATCCAGCCAAAAGAACAACATCATCTGCAAATAGCAGAGACGCCACCCTCCGGCCTCCACACATAATGCCCTCCTGACCCCGGCTACGCCTTGACACCCTGTCCATGAATATCACAAACAGGAGTGGAGACAGGGCACAACCCTGGCGGAGTCGTAAGCCTTCTCCAAATCCACAAAACACATGTAGACTGGGTTGGCAAACTCCCATGCCCCCTCAACAATCCGTGAGAGGGTGAAAAGCTGGTCCATTGTTCCACGGCCAGGACGGAATCCACATTGTTCCTCCTCAATCTGAGGTTCAACTCAGACCAGAACAAATATATTTAACTTAAAATTACACAGAACCTCAAACACTAAATATATTACAATTTTCTGTTTTTTGTGCGTCTTTACTTGCCTTCATTAAAGCTTTCTTTTTAGAAGACGTGCTTCCAGTTTTTCAAAGGAGGGGGGGGCTTGTTTTAACCATCAATAGAAACAGTTTGTCTGTGTTTCTTTAATTTTTTCCTTTAGTGTGATCTCCAATGTAAATGGCATAGTCAGCATCACGCCCATGAAAAATGCCAAGACCTTTGTGAATGGAAACCTCGTGTCTGAAGTCACTGTCCTCCACCATGTAAGAGAGAAATGAGAGAAGCTGTTCTTTGATTTTTATTACTTGGATAAATAGTTATTAATGGATATTTGTGCTGCATTTTCCAGTAAAGAGTGCTTGTAGTAACCTGCTTGTCCCGGTTTGATGTGATTTCCTTAGGGCGACAGGGTGATCCTTGGAGGAGATCACTACTTCCGCTTCAACCACCCAGCTGAAGTGCATAGTGGAAAGCGTGTGTCCTGTTGGAGTTCTGGCGATGGCCAGAAGGACTTTGAGTTTGCCAAAAATGAGCTGCTCTCAGCGCAGAGAGCTCAGTGAGTTTAGAATGCATAATTTTAACATGTTTGTTTATCAATAGATTACACCACTACCCTGATTAGTTAATTGTTTTTGTATTCTGAGTTTAATCGATAGCTGTGAGTGTTGGCCTGTTAATGACATCAAATTGACAATTTGTAGAAATTTTTTTGAAAATATTAGTAGAGCTTAATTAAGAATTAAACAGTTGTTCTTACCTTAACTAACTTAATATAGTCATGAGATTTTTTTGTATATATGGCACATTCAGAAGTGTCTGTGTATGTTTTTGCTATTTCTAGACTAGAGGCAGAGATTGAAGATGCCCGACTGAAAGCCAAGGAGGAGATGATACAGGGGATCCAAGTGGCTAAAGAAATGGCACAGAAAGAGTTGTTCGACCAAAAGCTGCAGTACGAGAACAAGATAAAAGCTCTAGAGAGAGAACTTGTACGTTTTATTCACTGTCCATCGAATCTAAACAAGTGCAATGAGCTATTTAATTGGAAATATATGTTAAGTGCCTCTTTTGACACCTGCAAACAATAAACTCCTTTTCTTAGGAAGAGGAGAGTGAAAGGAAAAGAGCACAGGAGCTTGAGAGGCAGCGGGTAGCCAGCGAGATGGAGGAGCTGCAGACTGCCAAGACTCTGCTGGAGCAAGAAATGAGCATGCACAAGAAACGGTTACAAATGGAGACCCAGGCTGCCAGACAGGTACAAGCCTTGATTCAGAACGTTTTGGAATTACAAGTTATAGAGCAGTAATGGAATCATGTTGCTTCATGTCTTAACAATGTTTGCATCTTTTAGGCCATGGCTGATAATGATATTCGACATGCTAAAATTCTTGAGGCCCTGGAAGCAGAAAAGAGGAAAATTGCTGAAGATCTAGTTGAGATTCAGAGGAAGCGTGCCTTGAAGGTGAACCAGACTCCCAGAACTGGTACGTTAAATGTCTGCTTTCTCTCACTTACTTTGCTGCTTTGAGCCAAAAAAGGGTATTAAAAGTAATAGCTGTTAATTACTAGAAATGTTGAAATTTACCTTGAATGTTATTTTAAACTCATCCTCTTAAAATGTTAGCAATATAAATGTGTTCAAGAACGTTGTTTAATTAACAAGATTTTATATATATTTGCTGTGTAACAATTTTTTCTATGATTATAGGCTAAAAAGGAACGTTGTCAATTTATTTAAAAGATGACAAATAACAATGTTATTTTACTGTTTTTTTTTAAATGGTGCCACAGCTTAATGCAGGTGTGCAGTTGAATATAAATCTGCCAATGTGCATTTATGCAAATATGCATAGTTGTATGGTGAAGTTTGGGTGTCACTGGTCAATCACATGCTTTGTTGATTTTTGTTTTTTTTAAGTGAAAGTGCACATCCTCTACAGAGCAGACACTTCTGCACATTTTATTACACAGCACAATTGCTTTATTTGCTGAATTGAACATACTGAGGAGGAAAAAATAAGCATAAAATGTGGCCTGTGCAAAAGTTATGGCACATTTTATATTTTGTTTTATTTTTCTTGCTGTATGTAACTCAGCAAAGAAATACTAAAATTAGCAGAATAGCGACATGTTTGTTTGTTTGTTTGTTTGTTTGTTTGTTTGTTTGTTTGTTTGTTCGTTCGTTCCCTGAAAAGGATATTATTTTCACAAATAAATTAAAAAATAAAAATAACATGAAATTTCACCAGGAGTATTCACACCTTTGTATATGACTGTATATGAGTTTTGTGGTTAGTGGTTACTATTGTGTATCAGAGCAATAAACATTTTTCACCATTCAGGGCTAAGGTCATGCTTACTTTAAATTTTCACAAAAAAAAAAAAAAACTATTTATAATGACAAAAATGAGACATTATTCCCTGTATGTATTCTGTTGTTAACTTTTTTGTTTTTCTTCGTCTATATACAGTTCCTCCACAGTGGGATGCTATGAAGTTGTCATTGATGATTGAAGAGGCTAACAAAATAAGTGTGAAATTTAGGAAGCACACAGTCTTCGGCAGGTTTGTTTGTCTTATTCTTTTCTCTGCTTATTTGGGTTTCATTTGAGCAATTAAACATACAAGCTTGTTCTTAACTAAACCAGCTGACTAATCTCCCCCATTACAGACATGAAGTCTCTGATGTAGAGAGTGGAGGAGATGATGCTGAGATGCAGATCCAAGTGCAGAACACCAAGCTGGGCATCTCCACCTTCTGGAGCCTCGAGAAGTTCCAGAGCAACCTGGCTGCCATGAGGGAGCTTGAACAGGTAGTCCAACACAAATAGATAATAGTCTGTCTTTAATACAAGGGAATTGATACAAAACAATTTAATGGTTCTTTACCACACTTTTACATGGTGCCAAAGTATTTAAAATAATTTTTTTCCAAGTAGTAATAATTTAAGTTGAGCATTAGATGGGCTCTTTTAAGGCCTTTTTAATCACCCCATAAAGTGAGCGAAGCAGCAAGGAGCCAGAGTTAAAATGTTGCTTATCGCAGCGGACCCAGACATGCCAGCAAATCATCCCCTCATAGAACCTGTGGCCAACCTGTCTTTACTCTTTTACAACCTACTGTTCATGTGAGCAGAGGACAAGACAATAGATTCAAACTCGTCCACAAATGAAACTGTGCAGCATCTTATTTTTGTAGTTTATGCGAATTGGTTGCTAAATCAAGTTTGATTTTATTGCTCGTAGGGAAACTGTGCCTCTAAAGATGATGATGTGTTTTATGACCCCAATGACCAGTGGGAGCCAGATATATCTTCAGCCTCCTCAACCTCTTCCTTTTCTCGCAGAAGGTATTTTTATTCCACCTCTCAGTCACTTTACTGTGCTTAATCTTGCTTTACCTAGAAATGGTCCATGTCTGATTTCACTTCCTGTGTAAAAAACAAAACAAAAAAATGGCCAAAAATCTCTGCATAGAAATGAAAATGGGTGAATTAAACTTTATTAAGCAATATTATATTCTTCTTTTCTTCCATCTCACAGCTCACAGCTTACTTTTTCCTCCTGTGCTTTTCCATTTTTCTGCTTGGCATGTTTATTGCCTTAGTGGTAATTTGTTCATAGAGATGTGGCCAACTGCAACATGGTAGACTGTCAGACCTCTCCCCACCAGCCTGTCGAGCCCAGTTCTTTGGAGCATGGCCCACACTTGCAGCTAATTTGTGCTCATGCTGCTTTGCTCATTGTCCTTCCTGTGAGCTGTTTTGTTTATGTGCACATTCATTCCTTGCTCTTCTTGATGTGTCATTTAGTTGGCTCTGTAGAGAAGCAGTGGTATGTGATTATACTGAACTTGCCTTGTCTACGTAGAGAATTTGATTAGGAAAACTAGCTAATATGTCTTTTATGCATGTCTTCCAACTTGCTTGGCCTTTCATTTACAATCTTTTCATGCAAAACTACCCTCAGCTTATAGTAATGTGCTTAATATAGTTACGTTGAATTAATAAAAAAAGTGGAAAATGTATTTTTATTTTAAATAAAGAATGAAATGTTAAGGAATACACAAAATCTAACCTAATGTGGCAAATTCTTATGAGCCAGTACTGCTCTCAGGTGTTTTAGTAAAACAGTAGACATTGAAGGTAGTGTGATGCACTATGGTCAGAAGTATGTGGACATCTTTCCTAATTGTTGAGTTCCAGTGTTTCAGCTACACTCATTGCTAATAGGTGTAAAAAATCAAGCACGCAGCTGCACACAAGCCTGTGTAAAAGTGAAAGTGTTCTCTAGAGTGATGATTCGCGCTTCACTATTTGACAGTCTGATCGACAAATCTGGGTTTGGCAGATGTTGGGAGAATGTTACCTACTGGAATGCGTAGTGTCAAAAATACAGTTTGATGGAGGAGGGATAATGGTCTGGGGGTGTTTTTATTTATTTATTTATTTTATTTTTTTACGGGTTTGGGCTAGGCCCTTTAGTTCCAGTGAAAAGTAATGTTAATGCTACAGCAATTTCGTACTTCCAGCTTTGGGCAGAGTTGTTTTTCTTGGCAAATTCCCACAAACACACTCCAAAATCTTGTGGAAACCTCCCCATTGAGTGGTGGCTGTTATAGCAGCATAGGGGACCCAACCCTATATTATTGCCCATGGTTTTGGAATGGGACGTCCAACAAGCTCATTTAGGTGTGATGGTCAGGTCAAACATAATTTTGGGCATATAGTGTACATGGCCATATTGATATACCCCACAGTGGAATTTTTGACCTTGTGTATTTGCCTTGTGCAAATCTGAACAATGGAAAATGAATATGACTATAAATACTCTTAAAGAGGAGCAATACAGAACACTAGGGAAATGTATATAAAGAAAAATATGTAGCTTGATTTTGCTGGACTTATTGACTGTAAGATCTTTTACTGAAATCTTTTCAGGAGCAGGAGCCTGTTGAAGAGCAGGCGTATCTCTGGTAGACTCTACGAGATCAGAGTGCATCCCATTCAGAGCTTGAACCTTTCCTCCACACAGTCTGCTGGTAATGTATTACCTTTGTATGTGTTTTGTATTTCTCTTAACTGACTGGTTAATGATCCTAAAGGGCCTAAAATTTATTATTATGGCTGATTGACATCACTTAAAATTTTGTACCATTCTAAGAATTTTACCATGCTGTATTTTTGCAACTTTCGTCATTCAAGTGAGTACTTTTGTCTTAAAAAGTAATATTCATCATTTCCCTTCAAAAACTGAAAAAATAGAGGCATTCTTACCATTGTTGCACTGCTTAAATCTATGATGCTATGAGGTTTTATCCTGTTTTATTACTCCAGGCCTAATGGGTATGAGTAAGCCCCCATCTCTTCATAGCAGCGGCTCAGAGTCGGCCTTGCCTGGCATCTGCAAAGATCTCATAGCTGCCATGGTTTCCCGCTTACGTGCCAGCCCATCAGCAGAGGAGAGCGAGAGCCTGGCAGACAAACTAACCCTGGACCTGCTCTACATTAATGGTGCTTCAAACTCCATTGCAGACTTGTACCATCAGCTTGACGACAACAGCCAGGACAACTGTAAGCTTTTCTGTGTTTAAACAACCATATATCACCAAAGTCATCCATCAGTGTCGGTCCATAAGAACAGTGAGGAACTTGGCCATGTCGTATATTATGCTGTCATTCCAACACCATGCTGAGGTTCTCATTGTCTCTGTGTGTGAACAGTGTTTGCATGCAGCACTGATGCGCAGACTCATCTTGTGAAAGCCACCTCTGCTATTGAGAGAGCCGTGTTCATTACCATGCATTGGGTCGCCAACATCCAACCCAGAATTCAGTCAGTCTCCCAAACTGTGGAAGATCTCAAGACCGAAGTAAAGAACATGGGAGGCTATTTTCAGTTGCTTATTCAGGTACATGGTACAAGAAATTTGAGTGCTTTGACAAATACCAGGACTTTTATTGTTAAGGTTGTTTTTAAGGTCTATTTCATTTTTTTCGTGCTAATAAAAATAGATTTATAACTGCATAGGGAAAATATACATTGTTTTTTGCATCTCCCTGTTTAGTCATTAAATGTTACAAGCATTCAAATTGGGACCCAATCATTATAAAACATTTGTCACTGATACAAATTTTAAGAAGCTGAAAAATTTAGATAAATAATATCAGCCAGTATAATTTTATGTAGCCAAAAATTAAACTGACTCTATAGTCAAACAGTGCTTTACAGGAGATAAACTACAGTTGAAAAAATTCCAAGGTCTGGTGCAGGACCTGGTACACCACCAAAACTTTCATTATCAGAAATCAGTACTTAAAGTACTTAAAATCAAGCTCCACTCTTGCTTTAGGTCTGAAAAATTCACAGGTGTTTGTCAGTCCTTCCACTGCAGGAAGACATCTTAATGCTATGAGTATTAAACAATATGTAGCTGTCATGAAGCCATTACTGAGAAAAGGAAATAGACATTAATGAAGAAAATTTTCAAAAAAATAAGCTACTGGTGTTCAGAACAATGGACTGACCACCCCAGAGCCCACATCTCAACATTATTGAATGTGTTTGTGATTACTTGGATTCTGAGAGGCATAAAATGCAACCAACTTCTAAGACTGAATTTTGGAGGTATGAAAAATATTTCTGCAGATTTCTTTAAAAAAAAACTGAAAGCAAGTCAAAAGAATGAAAGGCAAAGAGTGGACATTTAGTATTTGTGTGTATTTGAACTTTTGTGTAATTTTCTGTGTTTGCTGCTTTTTTCTAATACTGAAAAATGATAATGTTTTTGTTCTGACTGAAAATTAAATAAATGTAGGGTGATCTTTAACCTTTGCACAGCACTATATATATTTTTATCACTCCGTTCATTCATTCATTAATTTTTTGGCTGAAAATATGGATTATTGTTTAGGTTGATGTAACCCAGATTAGGTTAGTGGAAAAAGTTTTCTTATTCTCCACTCTGTTTTTTCAGGGCTGTGACTCTGAAATCTCCTCTATGGTGACTGAAGCCCAAAGAAAAACTGGCAGGTGTATGAATGCAGCACTGAGTGCTGTAGGTTTGCTGGCAGCAGTGACTGGGACCCGTCTGCATCTGACTGAACTTGGATCTGACATCACTGCCAAAGTAATAGTTCACTAGGAATGCATGCAATTTTATGCATAAATAAACATTTGAGGTTTAATGCAGTTTTATTTCCTCAGAGGCCTGCTGTGGAGTCTGTGCGAAAGGGAATGTGCCGGGGTGTAAGAGCTCTTCTGGAGGAGGGTCTCTCTGTTAGCAGAGAAATGCTCAGACATGCTCAACTAGCTCAACCTAGAACTCAGGTTATTTTGACAGTTCTTTGCTCTGGCTTCTTATTTCAAATACTGTTATGTAAAGCGAAGAAAGGGAACATCTACTGCATTCTCTCCTTTTTGTTTTTTATATTCAAAATATATGTTTTGCTTTCCAGATTTTGCAGAGCCTTAAAACCAGAATGTTGGAGGTGGCAAATGCTTTGCAAAGCTATATTCATTGCAACATGTTGGTACGTATACAAAATTGTAGTTGGTCTTGACATTGAAAGAAAAGGTTTTGAATTAATGCCTACCCCCGCAATGTCTTTTGAATTAGCTTTTACAATGCTAGTGAAAACGATGTGCTTAAGCAGGCTTATCGCGGCCTTCTTGGGTCGTATTGTTAAGATAATGAATGTATTGAACAAAGCGTCATCTGTCACCTCAACACGGTTGTTTTTGTTATCTTCCGTGCACAAACTACATCCTCATTGTGAGCTTTTAGCAGGGTGCTATTATCATGCGTCATTATCCAAGCACTGTGTTGTTCGAACACAAAGATCAGACCTTGCATTAGACTCTTGTTTTTCTGCTGTCAGATTTTATTGATTTAGTTAGGTTTATAGTGTATACACATACTTTCTGTTCTCTGTATAATTTGCAGATATTTCCATTTGCCATCTGCTTTACCCGTTTTTGGCTATTTTGACTAGATGTTGTTTGTTGTATTTATTGACAATTGGCTTAAAAGGGGCTGCTTCTTTAAACAATGAAGCCCATCTGAACTGAGTATTAATTAGTTCATGTGCGGTCTTAAATCATGGGTGGAAATCAAGCCCTTAGTACAGCTGAACTGCAAAAAAGAATGTGAACATTTTTTTCGGTATAAATGTCATGTTCTTATGTCTAGATGTCTAATGGTTCATTGAAGGTGATAATGCTTTCACATGCTGATTGGCTGGCCCTATTTCCCACGTGTCAAGTCATAATTGTAGTTTTCTGTTCAAAAGTGGTGTAATCTGAGTTATTCATGATATAGGATGTTGTTCTGCATGTTAATGCACAACTAACGATTGCTGGTCTGGTCTGTTTTAATATTTAACATTTTGCCCCACTGTAAACATGTACAAAATCTACAGGCAAGCAAATTTCTGTGGCCTAATAGTTGACTATTAAAAGTAAGTTACATTTAGAAAAATCATTTCTAGGGGTGCACAATAACAGTCAACCAATTTATTAATTTAATTTTGGTTGATGTGCTGGGTTGCAATATTATGACAAAAATAGAATAAGCCAAGTAAGTGCACCAAAGGTTCATAGCGCAATTATGCATTATGTTAAAATGCCAGTTGCTTCTTGGTTTTTTTAAGCACTTCATTTGATTTCATGTTATTTAAATAGGCACTTGATTTTTCATTTTTGAATTTCGTTGACGAGCAAATCTTGTTGTTGTTGTTGTTGTTGTTGTTGTTGTTGTGGTGGTGGTGGTGGTGGTGGTGGTGGTGGTGGTGTGTTGTTGTGGTGGTGTGTTGTGTGTTGTTGTTGTTGTGTGTGTGTGTGTGTGTGTGTGTTTTAAATCTGTTAATTTAGCCCACAAAGTTTGGAAAAAAAAGTTAATTAATTAATACACTTTATAGCACCTTTCATATATTTAAAATATTTGAAAAATAATAACCTAAGTATAACAGTAAATACGTTTCAAAGGTCAGATATGAATGAATGAACATGAATGAAATTAAATAGGACAACAAGAAATTGCAGCACAAAAATAGGGAAAAAATGAGATAAGAAAAGGAATAAAATACCATATAGGAAACTAGAGAAAGCGAAAGAAAAAAAGACATTTTAAGCTGCTTCTTAAAGGTGCAGTGTGTAAGATTAAGGCAGATCTAGTAGCAGAAATGGCATATAGTATGCAAAACCATGTTTTCATTATAACATGCATAACTGGTATAAAATCACCAGTAACTACGAATCATTGTGTGTTTTAGATTAGGTTAGAATGAGCCTTTCATATCTACATAGGTAGCGGGTCCTCTTCCAGCAGAGGCCACCATGTTGTGCCTTTTCTACAGTAGCTCAAAACACTGGCTCTAGAGAGTGCCTTTCGACTTTTTACACTAAAGCGGCAGCTTGACATTGGTGGCGCTATAGGACAGACTGGAAGACGTAGAAAGAAGAAGAATCAGTGGTTGCCACCGGTGCTGGCTAACCATTTTGTGTTGTGAGAAGTTTGAGAACCCAAATTTTGACAAATGGAGGACCAAACTTATTATTTAACACAAGAAAAAGCAAGGGAGGGTGAATCCTCATCAAAGAAACAAATACATGACAGCCACCATAGGATCTACTATATGCTTGGAAAGGGAGGGGTGAGGAAGAGGTATTCAGTTGGTTGTAATCTGCCACAAAAATCTGTCTCAAAATCTTACACACTGCACCTTTAAAACTGCTAACTTAAGATGTTTCCTTTCCTCCACCATGATGCAAAAGTTAAGGTCAGTAACAAGTCAGAAACTATCAAAAGATGTCAAAATTGTTTCACACTTCTAATTACAACTTGAGGGGATGGTTGAGAACCCGTAAAACACATGAAGGCAGTGTTCAGTGCAGAAGCTTTCCCATCACAAGGTACCAAGGTTGTTGGTTACAAGTATTAAAGGTGTCTTTGTGCATCTGGGTGTTGCAGGAAAAGCCAGATTATTTGGAGAATTGTACAGAGGATGCTGATGATGCTTCGCACTTGGAAAGTATAAGAAACACAGCTAACAAGCTCTTCCAGCTAAACCAGGCTCTCCAGCAGCTTCACTCCACCTTGTCTCGCACTCTAAGAGGTATGTTTTCTCAGCTTATCTCAAATTGCAGCAATTATCACCTTTGCTTACTCTGAAATTATTTAATATGTCTTATTGAACTTCTTTGATATGTCTTATTTAACAATCTGCATTGATCTTTTCCATAGGCAGAGGCAGTGATGCTCACCTTGGTTCCTTCAAAGAAGCAATCCAGTCTTTGACCAAGACTATTAGCAATGTAGTACATGGACTACCAAGACAGACGGACATCAGCCTGTCTGACAGTCTTCAGCTTCCATGCTTAAAGAGTGTTATGGATGCACGGGATGAAGTGCACTCAGCCTTGTGCTCTCTAACGGCACTGTTTGATGAGAGCCGTGAAGAAAATATAGAGTCGTCCAGCTCTAAGAATATCGATCAGGACTTGGGTCACGGCACCAGAAACCGTACCGTCCCTAAAATAGTGTACTCGATGTCCTCTGGTGTTAGCTCCTGCTCCAGGGATGTTCGCTGGGTTTAATCTGTCCATTGTCAGTCAACTGTAGGGGCAGTCAGCTTTTATGTAAGCATGTTTTTGCACTTAAGCATCTGTATGTATATCAGTTGGATTCCCAACAGACTTTTCTCCGTCAGATTTTTGTGTGAGGTACTACAAGAGTGAATTAACAAATTGTGACACAAGATAACTAGATTATGCTTATTTTTTGGATAAACACTGTTGTTTATACATCATATGTGCCATACATATATGTATAAACACAATGGTATTCACTGCTTGTGTATTACTAAGGATAGAGTAATGGAGTACTGTAAAAGTAAAATAGTATTGTCATTCTCCTGTATATTAGAGATTTGTATACGTTTCTGTAACATACAGCTTTTGTACACAATGTTTTGCAACTTTGCACAAAGCTTTCTTCTACTTTTTCGCTCCATGCACTTCTAAAACATTACCCTTTACATTGTAGGCATTAATAACAGTTCTTTCACGATCATGAAATAATCCAGTAAATTATACACTATTTTGCAACAATAAACACTGATGATGACAGACCAGCTTTTGTTTTCAGTAACCTGGATAAACCACCCAGCTAGAAAAACCAGCATAGACCAGCATGGCTGGAACCCAGCATATCATTTCTGTCAGGACAAAACCTTGTATCTCCATTTTTACTGTGTTTTGGATTTTGACAGTATGAAAATGCCAGTTGCCCTTTTTGATGTGTCAAAATTTCATGATGAACGGACCAACATAAATGGTCCAAAATGACTTGAAAAAAAATGTTTATCCCTTTACTTCCATTAAATGTTAAGAACTTTTTTCCTCTTCCTGTAAAGTTACATTTTTGAAGATACAAGGTTTTGTCCTGACAGCAGCAATATGTTGTGTTTTGGGTGTTGGTGTGCTGGTCAACCAGCATGGCCATGCTGGGGTGACCGGCTAAACCAGCACCAGGCCAGCATGCCCCATAAAAACCATTAAGTGGTTCTGGTGGTTCCTGATCATTTTGTAATGTGTTTTGACTTTTTTTTAACTGGGTTGATATTACAATGTAAAGTATTCTAATGGTTAAAACTAATCTAAATGGTGACCAAAGGCTGATTCTAAATGCATGGTTTCCTAATGGGACCTAAAGGTGTTATACAGGAAACTAGTGGTCTCTATTTGAAACCATTAAGCCAGTTCCCATTAGAAGGCAAAACCATTAGATTTAATCCTAATAGTTTCTAATGGTCCTTTTTCAGAAGGGTGGTCATTCTGGTCAGTAGATAAAATGGTTATATTTGAGTTGTAGACATCCCAAGCCCTGGTTCCTATCATCGCATCGTAAAGAAATCTGAGTTGGTGAGTTTCTCTACAATGTACCACTGTATATCAAACCACTCTGAATATTTTTGTTTACATCTCAGCGATTGAATTATGCCGTAATTTTGAAAAATCGGTGGAATTTCCCTTTAACACAAAGGCAGTATGTTTAAGCGTATTTTGTAGTTATGCACTAGTAGGTGGGGGCGAATGCTATAATATACTAGGCTACTATGTTGTATGCTGTAGTAGACGGGGCTACTGCCTAAATGTCCAAAGTAGCCCATAATGAAATAAAGCTCCACGCTCACTGACAACTGCAGTTTTCCATCCTCACGTGCAGAAGCTGCACGCGCCTCCCTTCTCGCTCGCGCTGCTGTAGCTGATACTCTTAGTGAATTCCCCGCTTCTGATATCATTGAGGAGTTTCTCCCTTGTCCACAAAGCCCAGCGGAGGAGGCGTTTTCAAAACCACCACTTCAGAGTTTTGTGTTGAAGAACAGGAGGAGGAAGAAGACCAGCAGAACATCAGGAAAACCTTTTTAAGCAATTTTTTTTTTTTAAACCTCAGACTGGGAGGAGGACTGCGGAAGGTGCTAAACAGGTAACCGTAACGCTTCCCGCTTCTAGTAAAACCGACGACATTTACTGACGGGTTTCGACTGTTTTGAATGTATGACTCATGTTTTTTAAGTTAGTTCTGTGTTTTGCCAAAACTACCGCGTGTCTGAACTCACTAATGGAACTAATTCAGCGACAATCCTCTGTGGTCTCCGTTTCTTTCTTTAGGATGCGGTTGTTGAACATTGTCTGCTCTCATGTTGTTGTAAGTATCTCGGATTCTAATTCAAAGGCGCCAACTGTGATATTTTCGTATTTTTTGCAAGTAACGAGCTGTCTGTGTTTCCCAGGTTTTGATTCACTACTGCAGTGGAAAAGGTAAAGAAGCATCTCATCTTTCTTAAAGCCTCTGACTGATTTTTCATGGTGGAAATGAAATGTAAATTTCATGATTTTTCTCACAAAACTTTTCTAGAGACCTCACTGAAGCCCATTTCCGCCAGACTTCTCAAAACTTTAGCACCTCGACCTAATGACTTAGTATGTCAAATGAATGACTTGAGTATTCTCGCAATTATGACTTATTTTTTCGAAATTTTAACCTGGCATGTCTAAATAGTGACTTGCTTTTTCAATAATGACATTCATTTTCAAAAGAGTAATTATTTTGAGATAATGACTCATTATTTTATTATTTCTAAGAAAACAAGGCATTATTTTGCAACACCAAGTCCTAATTTTGAGAAAACAAATACTTGTTTGAAAATACTAACTATATATATATACCGCTGTTGTCAGAAGAAAACCTCGTATCTCCAAAAGGGTAACTTTACAGGAGAAGTAAAAAACCTACTTTGCTGCTAATGTAAATCAATGGAACCAGACTTTTTTGCAAGTCATTTTGGGTCATTTCTTTTGGTCCATTCATCATGAAGTTTACATACAATGTAAAGAGTAAGAGGCATATATATATATATATATATATATATATATATATATATATATATATATATATATATATATATATATATATATATTTTATAGATAACAGTAAATCATACAGTGTAAGCAACCACTTAAACAAGTCTCTTATAAATATATATATATATATATATATATATATATATATATATATATATATATATATATATATATATATGGGATTTGAAAGCATGTAACATGTTTCCTTGAGTACTATATACTTTTTCTGGACTCTTTCCACCAATGTGGACATACAGGAAATCTTCTGTATTTTCTGTAATCCTGTAAGGGCAGGGATAATGTATTAGTGATAGGGCAGCCTGGCATGTTGACAGAGTTAACTAAATGTTAGTGTAACTGTAGCAAATCTTCTCTGTTTACAACCTGACAGCTCTTGCCATTACTCCAGAAAGCAGAACCCCATTGCCAAATGATGAGATTGACTATGAGTATGTGGCTGACAGGCTGCAGTGGGATGTGGTCAGTAGGCTGTGTAGACAGCGGTTAGGGTCCCTGGCTGTGGTGTCCAGTGCTGGGAAGAACCCTAACCTTACCAGCTACCTACAGTCCTTGAACATCTCCCAGCCTGTGTGGATTTCAAGAATGGTACCACCTGAAATAAGTGGTGAGCTCCATTAATAATATACCCTTTTTTTCTAATTATTTGCATCAGTGAGAGATTCAGCATGGTCAACAGTGGTATTATTAAAGATTAGGTCAGCAAAGTGCAGACAAGATGTGATCTTCCAGATGGCTGGAACATACAGTATTTCGGCCATTTTATAGATAACAGTAAATCATACAATGTAAGCAACAACTTAAACAAGTCTCTTTTTTTGGATTACTTAACAACTGGACACAGTTTGAAGTAAGTGTATAAGTGTGTGTTGATATGATCATGCAGTTTGAATGATGCTAATTTGTGGGGTATAAATTTTATTTACTCCAGTACAAAACTACAGAAGCAGACTTTGGACACCAAACATGTCTAGGCTAATGATAACATTTGGGGTAAGGGGAAGTGATATAAATTAGATATTTTGCCATACTAGTCCTTTTAGATAAACATTATGTCCCATCTCACTATAGACCCTAGGATTAAAACAATGCACATCTGCCAAAATACCACTTTGAAGTACACGTATATGTCTCTAGAGTTCAGAACAAGCCAAAGGTAAAATATTTTTTTTAATAATCCACCAACAAATACTCATTGTCCTATCCATTGGCCCAGGTACTTCTGACTCCTTAATCTTGGAATTTCTGGGCAGAAATGAAAGCCAGTCTGCTCGGCTCCTGCATGAGTTCTCTGACATGGCTGCTATGACCGTTTGCACTCGCCTTCGTTTCGATCCCAATAGACATGAAGAATCCACCGTGTTCTCTTATTCTGTACACTCATTCATTAATGAGTTCCAGCTCCGAGCTAGAGTTACATCGAAAGCACTCATCGAGTTTGCTCTGCTGGTGCATGGTGAGAACAGCACCTATCAGTCTGCCTTTGCCAATGATGCCTCCTGGCACTCGTTGTGTGTAAGCTGGACAGGAAATGGTGGTGAGTGGGCTTTCTCAGCAGACGGTCTGGAGGTTGGGCGTGGGAGTCGTCTCTACCCTTCTGAACACATAAGAGGCAACGGCTTTTTCATCATTGGCCAAGAACAAGACAGATTTGATGGATCCTTTAAAAGCACAAAGGCGTTCTGTGGGAGCATTACCCAGCTCTACATATGGGATCGGGCGTTGGAGGCCGGTGAAATCCGAACCATGGAAAAAGAGTGTAAACCTATTACATCTAGCCTGGTTTTCAGATGGAGAACCTCTGGACTGGAAATGGAGCCCTCAGTACAGATGCATTGGGAGAACTTCCAGTGTCAAGGTAAAACATTGTTGGTAGTGGTCTTTGTGGTGGTTTTGGTCTATTCGAATATGATGAAAATATGGACTCTTTCTGCCTTTTGGAAATGCGTAGTGTGTAATGACTTCCAACTCTCCTAGCCCGCTCCCAACCGACATGAATGCAGGGACTCTCAGCCAAGTTATAATTGGCAAACTCAGCCCTAAACGGTTGTAAATATTTCATCTATGCTGTAATTCAGAAACCCACCCTTCAAAACAAACGCTTTACCATTGACAGTCTGAGCTCACGAGGAACAGAATCCAGGCTCTTATTGCTCGTTTGAACAATATACATATGGTGTGATGAGCTATACATGTGCTAGACTTTAGATTAAAGGATTATGCTGCAGTCATGACTCATAGGTGGCATCATTTCAAATTAACCAGACCATTAAACATTAACAGGAGTGAGTCAGATTTTAGGCATTTTAATATACACAAAGGCAAGGCTTAAGTTTTTTCATAATTCCATGTTATGTATGTTTGTCCTCAACATCTGACTTGCCAATTCATAGCCCCTGGGTTGGACTCAAGTTTATAGTATCACAATTTTTCCTTAGTGATTTCCCAGATGCCAAATAACGATACCTGTGTAACCTTCGACCCTGCTAGTGGAAAGTGGGGCTGGGACCATTGTGAGGCACAAAAAGGGGGTGTCTGCCAGTTTCATAAAGGTAATATGTGCTGCTTAGACATGGTTCAGAACAGTCATAGATCTTTGTGTAAAATAAAATAAATAAATATTGAAAAACACTGCATACAATATATCATTATGATACATCAGGATGATTACATCATAAATAAATTGAAAAGGGAACTTGCATGCAAGCATTGACAAACAACATTGCGTGTCTCTTGTGGCTGCTTATACAAACTGCTACTAAATATGTTCATACTGTTACTTTTAATAACAGTATTACTAAACGACAATTTCTCACCAAAGCCTTATGTTTTTATAATTATGTTGTGTTTAGGCATTTGTGTAAATGATGTCTTTCATTTGAACTAATGATTGTATTTCTTGCTTTGATTCCAGAGACAATAGAAAACTTTCCCAAGACACCATTTTTTACACGAGTCCTCAAGGATCTACATGCCAACTCTGTGAGTAGGAGAGCTTTCACAACCTTTCAACACAGTAGCTCTGACGTTCCTGGATGCAAGTTCTGCCTGATCAGAGTTTATCTTATCTTATTTTAATTAACAGAGATTCTTTATTCTGAAGGCCACTAATTTTTTTTAAATATTTTTCCAAAGGAGTTAGAAGAGTTTAATTCAACTTCATCTACAGATAATGAGCTGATTTGGCTGAACTCTATAGCTCGATCTATCGTGAGGGTAATTGAGGCCAGTCCTGACATCATCACGCCCTCTGATCTTCTGTACCTCACACAAACCATCGAGCTGGCTGCAGCTGCTCAAGCCAATAAAACATCTGCCTCTTCTGGAGTCATCATGTCCATGGCTACCAACTACCTGAACCTAGCCAGTGGTCTCATTGATCCCGTGGTGGCCAGGCAGTGGCTAGATTTAAAGCCACTAGGGGTACATCATCTCAGTATTCAGTCATTTTTGGATGGAGGTAGCTGCAAAATATCCGAATACTTAATAACTTCTGTTCTTCCTCTTACATCTTTGCCTGCTTTCTACAGATTCAACTCAGACCATTCATGGTTGTAGAGAATATTGACAAATTACTTTGGGCATTGGCAGATACAATCTATACAGAAAGGTCAAGCTTCACAGTTTCAACAAAAAACATAGGTAAAGTTTTCTCACTTGTATTTTGGATTGTAAATGTTGGTGACATACCCAAAGGACTGGCATTTGCTAATGATGTTCAGTGACTTCCTGTAAGATTTGCTGTATGACACTATGAGCACTTAAATAAGAAAGTAACAGGTATTTTGCAGATTTAAAGTCAGCATTATGGAATTCATCAATGTATGTTCATTATTTTGTTTGTGGTTATTTTGTAGATGTTCATATGGAGCCAAGGCGGTTATCTCAGATGAGCTGCAGCTGTGTGTACAAACCTTCAACACAGGCTGCTCAATCCAGCAGCCAAGATGAAATCCTAATACCAGAGACAGAAGTCCAAAGAGTCCACTCCCTTGGTGAGAAATTCTGTAAAGTTCTGACTGCTAGTTACTAGTATGTTTTCCTGTTGTCTTAGGAAGTCAGTGTTTCTGAATCCTGGTCTTAAAGTTCCTCTTCCCTACACATTTTAATCTGTTTCTCCTAGACCTTTTATTGTGTTCTAACACAGCCTGTGAGGACCTGTTAATTCAAGGACTTCAGGAAGGATTTGTTAACAGGGAATTCCACTGCTTTTTCAAAATTTCTACAAAGTTCAATTGCTGGGGTATAAACAAAGTCAGTCAGAGTAGTTTGATGTGAAATGATATGTTGTAGAGAAACTTAGCGATTCAGAATTCTTTAATGTAGTGGCAATCGATTGAGTTTTGGTGTCTACAAAGTAGCCATTTTATTGACTATTCAAAATGACCAGCAAACCTGCAAATGTCTTGAGTTTTAATATGTAATAATGATAATGGTAAAATAGTAGTAAATCTGAAATAACAACTGTTCTTGAGGTACTGCTTTGCCTTACAACACCCTTCATGTACCTGTCTGCCATGAATGGATTTTGTTTGTTTTAGGCCATACCCTTTTCACAAAACTATCACAAAACAACGTAGCAGGCAGGGTTTTTGCAACTGTTTGCATATAATAACTTTCTGTGAGGTAGCTTTAAGAGGCGTTTTATACTTCAAATTTCTGGTTCCCATAACCACTCATAGGAACAGTTCTCTAGAATGGAGCATTTCACATCAAGCCACTCAGAATGTCTTAATTTACAAATGAACCACTTAAATATGGAGATATTTTGAAAATATCAGTGGAATTCCACTTTATTTCACTGATTAGTTCGATCAGATGTGTTACAGCAGAAAAAAAAACCCAAAATGCACAGTGCAGGTGTGCTCCAGAACCAGGCTTGGAAACCACTGGGCTTATTCGCAATTATACATACGGCTTAGCAAATCACACACATTCAAACATTGGACTATTTCCTTGTGTAAGTTTGGACATTGAATTCATAATCACATTCCTTCAAACTAAACAAAACAGCTAAATATGTTTTACTTAGTGTAATTACACTAAAAAGGATTTGGATTTTTGAGTACAGATAGAGACTGAGTGAACTCTTGTGCTTTTTTTCATTCTTGAAATGTAACTTCAAAAGTGGACATTGGTGCTACTTTTTTGATGGCCACTCTTGAATCTTCTTTGGTAGGACACAAGGATGTGATGTTTATCCATGCCTACTATGGCAATCTGCTGGAGATGCTTTCCAAAACTGATTTCAAAGCTCCAAGGTACCAACAGACACATGAGCTTTACCTTGTGCTGAGAACTTTGATACAGTTCCTGAATCACAAGCCGTTGTGCTTTGTTCTTTAGTCTTTTTATTGAATATTGTAAAATTGCTGAATTGTATTTAAAATGCTTTTTTTATGTTTACAGTATGTTGCATATTGTTGTATGTCAAAGTTTAATGACAGCACATTTACTGAAGCTGTTTTGGTTTCTGTCCAGCTCACCTTTTAGTCATCTGGCTACAGCAATCATATCAGCTACAGTACGAGATGTGTCCAGGGCAGAGAATATTCCAGTATCTGTCCAGTACACTCTATCCACTGCCAAGATGGTAAGGACTAGACTCTTTTTCTGATGTTTCAAAAAAAATGTTTGTTTTACGTAAGCCAAAATACTAAAGTCTGTTTTCTTTTGTGTGAGCTACTATGTTTACCAGATAGGCCAATATGTGAAATGTGATTTTGTTTTTTTGAAGACCTTTTACAAAACCATTTTTATACTTGAATTAGTAATCATATCCTTTAGAATGTACTGCACTGTATTATTAGAAACCTGAGAGATGTGCGTTATAAGTTCTGTTAGTGGTATAGAGGTTACTGAGTGCCAGTGTTCTGAACTAGTCCATTTAAAGATCCCAGCAGAGATGTATTTGTTTTGTATTATCCCAAACAGCCTGTGTTTTTCAGTGAAACAGGCCTTAAGATGAAGCATACTTCAGTCCTAGAGGAATCATCAGTCCTGGAAGTGTAGTAACTGTACCAAAGTCTGCTTATTGTGTCACTGGCAACACCCATTTTTTTTCCAATTCACTGTGAGAAATGTGAAAAAATAACTTAGAACAGCTTTTACAACCCAAAACAGTAGGTCTTTCACAAAGATGTCACAGATTCTAAAATTTCAAAATGACCTAGAATTTTCTAAAACATTAAAAAAGGGAGTGGGGGAACATTCCTCTCAGACATTCAGTGAACCAGATTTATAACTCTAGATTTTCAGTGTTTACAAAAAAGTAGGCCTGAAATTTGCTCTTAAAGTTCTTAAAAAGGTTCTGATAGTGATATTGAGTTATAATAGTTGGCAAATTAAATATATGGAAAATATGCATCACTGAGTTAAAAGCAGCCCCTAGCCATTAGTACATAGTATGAAGTAAAAAAAGACACCGCCGTATGCCTGTGTTTTGTGCTTTGGTAACTGTTCCTCTGGCTGAAACAGAGCTTTTATATGTTATTATTTTTTATAACTCACTGTTGTTTCTGGTTTGCACTAAAGAGGAGTTGTATGAGAGCAAACATCTGTTTTCATTATAGGTGGAGTATTCCAAGTTTGTCACGCCTGTTTGCATGTTCTGGAATGTCAGTATGATGTAAGTAAATGGCGTACAAACTGTCCCCAAAACAGCAACTGAAAGTGGTAAATGAAAATGTTTGTTTTTTTCTTTTTTCTTTTTAGAGCTACTCATTCAAGTGATTGGTCAGACAAAGGCTGTAGAGTGTTGCATTCTGGACCGGATGGCACTTCTTGCTTCTGCAACCACACCACCAACTTTGCTATCCTTATGAATTACATGGAGGTTAGGGTAAGTTACTAAAAATGTATGGGGCATATCAGTGTTTTTAAAATGTGAATTGTAAGTATTCCTATTGTGAGTAGATTAAGATAATCTTACAGATTCTACAGAGTCTAAACTGGTGTTAATGCATTCACCCTGTTTTTAAATCCATGATCATTAAGATCACAACATTGTCAGACACATCAGAGCCATTTATATTGTTCTCCATTGAACAAAAAAATACGTAGCACCATTTTTTCCCTTGACTTTACCTATGTATGTTTGAATCTCTTTTTTGATGTTATTATAGTTTTGTCCAGCAGAGGTCCCTGTTAGCTTGCAGAAGAAAAAGAGGGACAAATGGGAGAGAGCACTGTTGAACACCACTTTCTTTCCCAGTACTCATGACTGATTTTTTATAAAGGAAATCTGATCAGTGTAATATGAAAGTATAGTCATAAATATGTTCTGAAGCCACTTGTATTGCTTGCAGTTCAGCTTTTTTTAACCAAAATCAGAACATTGATCACTTCTAATACACTCACGGCATGAAGCTTGATAATGAATATCCTATCTAGTTTTGCACTGCAAGGCACTTGATCTAGATACACTTAATGGAGAGACAGAGTCAGTGTAGACAGACAGAGAGAGAATTTAGAGACTGTTTGTTTTGACGGGCATTTAACCTCTGTCTCTGCAGTGGAGTGCAGAGGAGGAGAGCATTTTGACCAAGCTGACGTTTATCGGGTCGGGAGCCTCACTCTGCGCACTAGTGGTGACCTTGATGCTGTTTACCGTGCTGGAGTAAGTGGTTTCCAGGGATACACTGCCACAGCAACAGCACCCCTGTGAATGTGTGTTATTGTGTGTGTGTGTGTGTGTGTGTGTGTGTGTGTGTGTGTGTGTGTGTGTGTGTCTTTATGTGGATCTTATGTGGAGCAACTTCTGAGTTTAATGAAATGGAAACGTAGGATATGAAGATTTGCTTTAAGTTCAGCTGGACTGTTACCTTCAGTTACTATGATTATAATCCTTATAATGTCAGTGCATTATAACTGTAAGAGGAAGCAGTGCTATTCCCCCATTACTGGCTGCTGTCGCGCATCATGCATTTGTGACTGTAAGCTATCAGACCCTCATCCACTGGTCAATAGAATTCGTTTTTAAGGCAGGAGTATTGAACATTGCTAATCTGGTAATTAGTGCTTTGAGCCTAAATAGACTCACAGTGCTCAGACCTGAGGTTTTATGGTAACATTACAGTGGAGTTAATTAAGCACAAAGATCACATGGGGACAGACTAATCAGTGTAGTATTTGGCTTGCTGATTTCATTAAGAGATTTATGGTCTGTTTGCACCTAATCAGCCCATGCACCCCTAGCTTTCTAAAGGACACTGAGAACTAAGGGGTTATTCAAATAATGGTACTTAATTGCCTTTAAAATAAAAAAAAAATCTTGATAAATCTGTTCTGCGTTTGTCATATGGCAGTTAAAAATGAATATGAAATATATTACATACATTTTTCAGACAAATTATTTCATATTTTGATATATTAATTTCTAATATTTTTTAACATGGTAATATATATATATATATATGTATATATAGCTCTCTTTTTTCTGAGAAGTTTCAAGGCATATTTATTTATGTTATTCCCTGTATCCGCACAGCATTCCAAAATCGGACCGGACATCCATCCACAAGAATCTTTTTATTTCCCTGACCTTAGCCCAAATGGTCCTTCTCTGCAGTGGCTCTGCTATTCATAATAAGGTATGTGAGGCTAATATTGACCAATATTGCTAATGTTAAATTAATACAGTTAATTGAGTTTATTTATATGAGCTAGAAAAAGTATGATCATTTAAGTGTAAGCGGATTAAAAGTAAAACCATTCAAATGCACACATGCACAGGTGAAAAGCACTCTCATGTTGCACAGCTTCTGCTTTTGAGTGTTTTACTTTAAGAACCACATTGTATCAGAAACAAAATCCTGTGTGTGATTAAGTAAACAGTTTCTAATTAAATATTAATAAATATAAAAAGCCCCAGAAAGCAGCCTCCCTGGGTCTTGGCTCTGCTGCTGTATTTGGTGTGATGGATAAGTTGGCATGTGATGGTTATGTGGTTGTTTGACCTTTTCACCTCAGAGCACTTATCCTTTGACCTGTACCCTTAGGTGGCCTGCACCCTGGTGGCAGCACTACTCCATCTGTTCTTCATGGCAGCATTTAGCTGGATGCTGGTGGAGGGGCTGCTGCTGTGGAGCAAAGTGGTGACTGTTAACTTGAGCGAGGATCGCCACATGAAATACTACTACTTGATTGGCTGGGGTAATAGGACAATTGAGGCTTTTATGCCCTCAGTTACTTATCAGGTCATGGAAAATCAGAATTTTATAGTTTTTGCAGTGCTATACATTAATGCGTGTTAAACATAAAATTTAAATCAGGGCTGTAACTATCAGTTATAGTAGCAAATGAGTGATCTATCTATTATTTGAGGAATCACAGTTTTTAAAAACAATAAAAATTTACTGAACAGCACAAACTTTTAGAAATTCCATAAGACTTTTTTGGGGAAAGATGAACAGGAAATACTTTAACAAGAATAATTTGACCAGAAGTAAACCCGCTGTGAACTCTTTGTGCTACTTTAAACTCTAAATAATGAACACTAAAGCATTTAGTACAAAGTATTTACTTCAGTGCAGTGTACAATAAATGTTGCCTTCTGCACGATATGCATGTTATCATCTAACTGCAGTGGCTTTGTCCCAACAGGTCTGCCTGTTCTGATAGTTACCATTACTCTGGCCTCGGCTTCAGGAAAGTACTCTGCAGACGGCCACTGCTGGCTCAGTGTACAGAATGGAGTCATATGGGGCTTTGCTGGCCCCGTCATCTTCATCATAATGGTAAGACTGAACCTTTTTTTCTCTCTCCATTTATCTGTTTCACACGTATATGATAGCACTCTTTTCTTTCTTTCTGCACTCTCCACTCTTCAAAAGATTTTTTTTCCACTTGTTCAGGACGACTAAAATGCTAGTAGTTACACTGTATATGTTATTAGTATTCACTTAATCCTTAACTGAATTTCTTTTAGAGCTCAAATGCTCAAGAAATCTTTATGTTGTGTTGTTTTTAATTGGTTACAATGATAAGTAAATTTAAAATAAATCATTTCCATTTAAACTACTAAAAGTGTAGTTGAATGTATTGGTAACATAATTATTATGCATTGTGATGCATCACAATTTCAGTATAGTTTTCCAGTGTTGTTAAACGTTGGTCCAGTCGCTGTTTACTACATACGTATCATTTTTGTGTAAATGAAAAGTGTTTGCTGGTGTCCTGCAGGTGAATATTATGGTGCTGACCCGTGTGGTAGTCATCACAATCTCCACAGCCAAGAGAAGATCTCTGATGTTGGCAGCTAACACTAGCCCCGTGGAGCAGGTGTCTGAACAGATAAGGTGAAACTTCTTTCTCTTCTTGCTCTCCTTCTCCTTAGTAGTCATCTAAACTGAGAGGCTATTTTATTCTAAACAGACATTGAATACATATATTTGCCATACTTCTAATATCTGACAAAATTATCATTTAAGATTATGCTTGTGTTATTTTTCAAAAAGTACACAGTGTAAATAAGAATGTTCAGTTTGACAATACGGACAAATGTAGGCCATGGCTTTCATTATACATGCTGTTGGAATACTGTGTTCACTATTTGTGTTGCTTAATCAGTTGCATCTACAATATAGCTGTATATTTAACAGGAATATCAATAGAGGTTTTATTCTAGAGTTAAAAGCAGTTTTGTATGGAAATTGCCAAAGTGTGGGACTAAGCAGTAAATCTTTCATTTAAATGGTACATCTTTCACGATCAACTCTGATCTCTTTCGCTCTTTCTCTAATTTTCAGTCACCACACAGAGGCGCCATTTCATAACTGTCTGTTTATGGCAACTCAGCATGCGCTTGTTATGCGGATGAACTGATCCCGATGCTTTTGAGTTTCTTTTGAAATGATCCTCACAGTTTCTTTGCATTTTGACAGCAGTGAAAACTACATGAATACTGTCTTTATTTTTCGTGGCCTGTTAATTGAGTATTTGACTGCACCTTTGGGAGGTCTAGCAAACATGTAAACTCCTCTACCATTACTGAGTTAAAATTGGATTTTACCAACAGACCCACATACTGTCACTCCTGTTGGCTTATAAATATTCTCCCTTCCTCTTGATATTACAAACAACCATATTACAAATTAAGCTGCCACAGTCAACCAGAACTTTTTTGAAGTGAAAGTGAATTTTCAGAATCTGAAGTGCTGTTGACACAATTAGACCTCCTGTATGAAGGATTTTAGTGCAGATCTCAATAAGTCTGTGTGAGTGAGCATCAATGCGAGCGTTGAAAGTTGGTGGCCAAACATGGCGCGTTGGCGGGGGAAAATCAAACACTCGCTTCCTCCGCCTGGCGAGGCTGACTTTGCTCACAGCTGGTTCACTTTAGCGGTCACCTGAACTGGAAGGTAATTTTATACTAAACAGAATTAAAAGCGATTTAGTGTGGAAATTGTCACAATGTGAGACTAAGCAGTAGCGCTTGTTGTGCTTGGAAGGACCCCCAGAGTTGCCTAGCCACCCGATGGGCTGAGATTGGCAAGAATGACCAGAGAGAGTCTAAAGAAACATTAGAAGTCCATTCTTTTGTGAGTATGTCATGTATTCTCCATGCGTTGGTGCTTAAAGATCTGCTATGTTTCACAGGGCGGCAGTAAAAGCAGTGCTGGTTTTGCTGCCAATTCTAGGCCTGACCTGGCTGTGTGGAGTTTTGGTACCTTTCTCCATTATTATCGCCTACATCTTCATCCTCCTCAACTCACTGCAGGTATGCTTTATCCCCTCCCCACTTACAGTGTTCTTGCTGTTTCTCAAACTTCCTGTCAACTCACCCACGGTCAGTTGTTCAGGTGTGATTTAACTTTGTTCCCAGAAGTGTGAATAAGAGAACATGATGTAGATGATTGTGCTGTATGTGATGATGGTGTGTTAAGGGAGTAAACACCATACTGCACATTAGTGGATATAGTCTTATTATTATTATTATTATTATTATTTTTTTAATTCAGATAAATAGAAAAATATGAGAATTTACAGTGAGGCTAGTTAATAGTTTATTGATTCAGTTCTCATACTCTAATATAGTACTTTTTGCAGTAATTAAAACTTGTCTTATTACACATAATTGTATTGAATATACATATTGCATGATCCACAGTGGTGTACATACTTCTTGGCATGTACAGAATAATCGTACCTTTTTATTTGGAGAATATGACAGGAACAGGGAGAGTTGCAAAGTTTTGTGAACACTGTTTAGAAGTCTTGCATTAGATTTGATTATAAATACAGTCTTTCATCATATTTTTATTTTATTTATAAGGAATAAAATTAGAAAGAAATTATTGTTTTGTTTGCCATTTTACAAAATAGATTTTTGTCTGCTAATATGTGAATGAATTTTTTTGTTCACATTGATTTTTGTGTTTATGTATTGATTCATTAGATTTTGCTAATTGCAGCAAATCTGTTTACAGTTTCTTGCAGCGCAGATGTAGTTAAAGAATTTATTCTTCATTTATTTCTAATTTGATTTGAGACCTAAATGTAGTAAAAATCTATTTATTTAACTTTGTTATAATTCTCATTATTACACATATATTCTTAACTATAATTAAGATTATTTGTCATACATCATTCTGCTTTAATAATTAAGCACAAAGTGCAGTATAAAAGCACAATCTTGAAAGAATTATGCATAGCTTGAGGTTTTTCTATTTTCCATTAGTACTGTAGAAATGTGTGGTCTATGGATATGGATTTTCTGATATGTTTAACATTATGAATACATATATTTACCATATTGTCTGACTCAATTGCCATTTAAGATTATGCATGTGTTGTTTTTTCAGAAAGTACACAGTGTAAATAATAATGTTCAGTTTAACAATAAGAACAAAAGTAGGCTATAGCTTTCCTTATGCATGCTGTCGGAATACTGTTTGGCTATTTGTGTTGCTTAATCAGTTGCATCTACAATAGAGCTGTATATTTAACAGGAAAATCAATAGAGATTTAGCCCGAGTCAGTTCATTAAACATCACACTATAAATAGTTCAGTCTCACTTACATCTAATTAAAAAATGTTTCACCACAGTGGTAATTAATGCAGATAGTAGTTGAAGTCATAGTTTTGCTGGATCGCTTTCTTCTGAACCTGAGTGCACAAGAAGAGGCTTTGTGTTTGTTTGTTTGTTCAGACCACAGGAAGTAAACAAGGAAATGATGCTGTCTCTCAAGGGTCTAAATGTTCCCTATTTTGATGGGGTGTCTTGGTCACTTTTGAAGTTTGTGTTGAAGAAGTGCATTAAGTACATTATAGCTTTGTTCACAGGGATCTTACCTTGGACTCTAAAGCAATTGTTTTGTAGAAGTTTATTTGTAACGTAGATGACCACTGGGGGTCAGTAAGGCCAGTTACAGGCAGGGCTGTATTACTTATTAGCTTGTGGGCAATAAATCTGTAATCAAAAGACCATAATTACTAGCATTACTACAGCTGTAACTGGGTAACAGTAATCAGTACATTTCATGGTGTGTTTATTTGGTATCCATTCATTCTTAGAATAGCCTTGAATTCTTGGCAGTAGCATCATCTGGATCCATTGCACTGCCTGGCTAGCATCACAGCATTATTCGGATAAAAAGCTGATTTGCTGTCATTTGGCACCTGAGTGCAAATGACATACTTCAGAAAAGACTAAACGTCAACTCCAACACTAGATTTGTCACAATATAGCCACTGGGAGGCAAACGTTTTAGCTCAGTGGAGGCCAATATGCAGAGGTACTAAGAGCAGGCAGTTTTTTTGCTGTCAGCCAATGCAGTTTTTGTCCAAACTCATTAGAACCAATGAGATTTCTTTCTATAAAATCCGTGATGAAATTATAATGTGTCCATATGTCTTTTTGAAATTCAGAACAGCTGTAATAGAGATCTCTATTGGAGGAATCTGTTTTAAAAGTGCCCGTTTTAAAAAGTGGTTAGTCACCTCAAGTATCACTGCAGCATTCTTGCACTGTGCCAGCCTTTTCCTTTTGTAAGTGAGGAAAAATAAATCCTCATGGGTTCAATTCCCAGTTGATATATGTGTTTTCCATAAAAATTCCAAGCTTTTGATTTCACTATGACATCTCAATTATGCAGCTTGATTATTCTGTAAGTGTTGAAAGACATGGATATAGAACGGCAGCTATAAATGTAGTCTCACAGAATTCAAACCATGTATTAAAATTCTTTTTGAGTCTTTTCTTTAAGAATTTAGTAGTTGAGCAAATAAGATTTGAATCCACGTGTTAGGGACTTGCATTATCCATTCTTGCGAACCACATTCTAAAGATGTTGATGGTGCATAATTCCAAGAATTCAAATAATGAATAAAGAATTCAAATTGCTTCAGCAATCGCACAAAAATGAAGCTTGTAGTGCATGCCACGCAGGCTTTTGAGTGAAGGATACTTGCGCTTTGCGCTTTGTGTGTGGAGTGTGTATTCTTAATTGTCCAGCTTAGTTTCTTTCTAAGGATTGCCCTTGAAAATATGAGGGCGCAATAGCCATCCGTAATGTGGAGTACACGCAAAAACCTGGTGGCCATTTATGAAATTCCTGTTGTGATTTTTCCCCTCCATGTTTCATTGTGTTTTCAATAGGCAGCAAAACAACATAAAACTTAAGCTAGAGGGGTTTATTGTTAAATCAATAAAACGGATAATGTTGACAAGCCCTTTTCATTGCTCACACTTTCCGCTGGTAGCTTGACAAAACTGTTCTAGTAGTTTGTCCTTTTTTGTTGCTTTTTTGAGGCTTTTATATATTTTTTTTTCTCTAAGAATTTCATATTGGTAAACAAATAGTTCCAAAAAACTTATCTTAGTTAACTTGAGTGTGTAAGATGTGTTGTGTTTATTGTGTTAATGTGTGTAGACTTTTGTGTGGTGTTGCAGTCTCTAGCATAATCTCAGTGCTGTAAACACTTTCAAATAGCACAGTTCCAAATTTTAGAGTGATTCAACCATATTATTACCTATAGAAAGACTGCTAATATAATGCTAATACATCTCCTGCAGTTACTCACAAATCACAAATAAAATGGTTCAGTTTGTAACTGAGAACAGCATTTCACCATTTAAGAATATGCCTGAAATAACAGGCAGATTAAATGATTTCAGTTCCATTTATGAACCTATGAACCCCCGAAATAGCCGTGCCTCATGTGCCCCTTTATCAAGCTGGAAGTAGAAGGTTGAGGGAGGAGGAAGGACTTGATTTGACCATAAATCGCTCGACCCTCCGTCATCCAATCTCAGTGCAATGTCATTCAAAAGCTCGCCACTATCTATTACCTGCATATAATAGGCCCTCACCATGCATTGTCCGACGCATTATTAGCCCATAACTCCACCCTATCAATAACTTTGAGGGTAAAGCGAGCAGAGAGAGGGTTGGGGTCACAAACTCAAGTCAAGTTTTTTGGGGGATTTGAAGCGTAGAGCATAGAGTGGTTTGGTGTTGATTTATTGAAGTTTGTTAATACTTGTCATTGTGAATTTTCTCTCTTATTATGGTGTGTTCTCAGTTGGTCATAGGTCTCTGTGTGCTTACCGCAAGCGGAAAACGTCAATTTAGTGCTCAGCATTTTATTCAATTGAAAATACAGAAGTGCAATTCTTTATTCTCAGAGCACTATTTTAGTAAAGTTTGGCTCTGAGGGGAATAGATTGTTTTCTGGGTTGTTCAAGTTGCCACGGATATGTGTTTCATTTGGTTTGGACTGATTCTGTTCAAATTGGTTTCAGAAACCCTGCTGGTGAGTGTATGATGTTTTTTAAGCAGGATTTCAGCGTATGAAGTAAAACCTGAAACTTTCTTGTGCTGCAAAAAACCATGCTGCACCAAACACTTATGAAATTGCAAGATATTTATTTAAATTCTGAGACCACTAGTGAAAGTGCTTTTATTGTGCATTCTTTTTTAAATGAATGCAATTTCTTTTGCATTATTTTCTAATTAATTGTTGTTCATTACAAATCGTCAGCATCACAGTTTGAGTTGAAAAGTAGGATAATTTAACATGAATGTCTGAATGTTATAGAGTAGATCAAATCTTCTTGATAGTCGTGAATGGAAGGAAAACGGCTAAAAAAAGCCTTTTTGTGCAAAAGTCTTAACATGGTCAAATTTGCTTTAATTTGAATAGTGACCTAGAAATAGTGTGTATTTCTTCTTTCTTAATTTAACTTGTTATACATTTTGTTTGTTTTATTATTTTTTATCTAAAATTTCTGTTGTTTATTTCCAAGTTTAAATAAAAAAAGATCTCCAATGTGGTCCCAGACATTTGGATACTACTGTAAATATTTTGAAAGCATTGAATTCTCAAAGTAATACTTTCAGTGTGTACATACTGTGTGTGTGTGTGTGTGTGTGTGTGTGTGTGTGTTGGGTGTGGGTGTGTGCATGTATGTGCGTCTCATGCTGAAAATTAGTGCTGAAAGTTTGGAATATATTTGGAACATTAGAGCGCTTCAAAAAGTCATTTTTTAAATATTATCTGTCACTCAGCTTATGAAATATAGGTAAAATTTAATGTTCATGTTGTCTAACTCTTTCTTTCTTTCTTTGAGTTAGTAAAACTTTAAGATTTAGGTGGTGGCATCTAGCCTCACACAAAACTAGTGATCATTTGAATTAAATAGTTAAGTAACTAATTTAGTTTATATTTAATTGTATAGTTTTTATTTTTTTTAACTTAATTGCCTCTGCTTATAA